TGTGTCAATGCCAGAAGCCATCATCACCACCACCTTCTCATCAGGAAAGACTCGAGTGACCTTGTGATCATAAGACAGCTCATTGCAAGGCGGTAGTCTCAGGCTTGCAAATTATTTAACACTGTTCTGGGCAGAGTCCAGACATGTGTGTGTGTTGTGTGGTTCTGAGAGAGGAGGGGAGGGGTGGGCTGGGAGGTCTGGGGGGGAGGACAGCATGCTGTTGAAAAGTCACTGCTATTTGTGTTTTGGGACCCTGGGATGATCCCAAATATGTGTTTACCCCAATCCTACAGCATCATCACACTTGGTTTCTGCTTGGTATAAAGCAGTGCACATTTTGCTAAAATGACTTTGTACTTAACCCTCCCACATCTGCTTGGTTTCATGCTGGGCTGCTGTGTTAACAGTCGTCATGGGAAAGAAAGACACCTTCCAGAGTCTGGCCACATGTGTGCCGCTCCTGGCAGACCTGTGAGAACAATTGGGTTGTTCCTTTTTAAGTATCCCAAAAGTGCTGATGTGGTGCTCAGCACCAGGGGATGGTGGGATGATTAAGGAAAAATAAGGTCTGGTTCACATCCTGCAAGGAAGTCCCTACTGTCTGGTGGGACACTAGGAGCATTGCTGTTTAAAGGGAATGTGTGGTGGATACTAGATTGTCAAGAACCACAAGGATGACTACAGAAGGAAATGACTCCTGAATCAGAAACCAATGGATTGCCATGTGAGGACTGCAGGAAAAATGGGGGGACGGTGGATAATTCCAGGAGAGAAAAGGGCCTAAGCAAAGGTGCTTCCTAGGATTGGAGGAGAAGCTGTCGAGAGGGGATGGAGAATATTCATTCATTCATTCGTTTATCCATTTAACAGTAAATATTGAGCTCTGTGGTAGGCAGAAAAATTGCGGCCCAAAGATGTCTGCATCCTAATCCCCAGGACCTGGGGTTGATGTTGCTTACATGGAGAAGGGGGCTTTTGAGGTATGGTGATTAAGGATCCTGGGGAGGTAAGGGCATCTTGGGCTACCCATGCAGGCCCAGTGTGACTGTAACTGAAGAAGAGGCAGGAGAATCAGTCAAAGAGACATGAGGCAGTACTCATCTAGCCATAAGGATGGAGGTGGGAGGCCATGAGCCAAGAAAGGCAGGGAGCCTCTAGGTACTTGGAAATAGATGAAAAGATTCTTCTTGGTCCCCAGGCCAGCTCTCTGCTTTAAAAGTGAACAACAAATGGACCCACCAGCTCCACAGCTCCATTAGGAAAATCTCGACAGCTCCATTAGGTTGGCTGGTAGGCTGGTAGTTTTTCACATTGCTTTTTCCAGAACCTGAGATAGGGCTGAGCCCAAGTATTCACCACCATTTCCACCTTCACAGTCATCACCACCACCATTGTAATCATCACCACCACCATCACAGTCATCACCACCACCATTGTAGTCATCACCACCATCACAGTCATCACCACCACCATTGTAGTCATCACCACCATCACAGTCACCACCACCATCACAGTCACCACGACCACCATTGTCACCATCAGTCATCACCACCATTATAATCATCACCACCATCATAGTTACCACCATCACCATAGTCACCACCCCATCACAGACTCCTGAGCACCCCAGTGTGCCAGACACTGCATCTGTGCCCTTATCTCTGCAATTCCATCAGGCAGACATTATTATTTCTGTTTTACAGAAGAGATCATAAGGCCTGGGGAGGTTGACTAAGAAGCTCACTGCCACACAGTCCTGTGGTAGAAGGGGTGGGACCCGACCAGGGTGTCAGAACTCAGACACTCTACAGAGCCTGGAGGGAAGCAGGGGAGGTATGTCCTGAGAAGTGAGGTGAGAACTGACTGCCTGTCTCCAAGGGCTGCCAAGCCTAAGATGGATGAGCAGAGATGGGTGCTCTCAGCTTTTGAGCTGAATTTCAGAGTCCTCAGGAGGCTGGCTGGACTCTGGACCCAAGTGGCCCCTACTTGTCTTTACCTTTGTTCACTTCAGGGTCTGTGCCAGCCTGTGCTTAGGCTTGGCCAAAGACCCCTCTGTCCCATATCAGCTCACGGCACCACAAGGACTTCTTTTCTTCTCTCGTTCCTCGGACATCTTCCTGGTGCCCTGAGACCTTTGGTGTTCAGTCGTTCAGAGGGGGGTAATGAATGAGTCCATTGTGCAGTTAAGAGCCGAGGACACTGGGACTCCTTCCACTCTCACACCCAGGCTTCTCCTGGGCTCTCATCACCACCTTTCCCAAGCCTGTGTGACTCCACGGTGGATCCTGCTGGCTCACCGGAACTTTAAAGGCCTTTTCTAATTGGAATCTCCCAGTGAAAAAGACTCAAACCAATTCCCTTCCTTGCCCTTTTCCAAATACAGTGGCAGGTGTGTCTGTTGAATGAGATTTTTTCCCCCTAAATGAGTTTGTATCCAATTAGCCACAAATATGTTCTCTCTGCATGCATATGAAAATAAACACACACATGGCTTATTTGAGAGACAAAATGTAATGTGCTAAAATTTCTGGGTTTTAATAAAGAAATAAAATTCCCTTAGGCAGTACTGTGAGGGCCATTGAGTTCACACTGTATTTAGAGATCAGCATCTCTCTTCTCTCTCCCTGTTCTGCCACATTTCTCCTCAACAGACCAGAGAGAAGACAGGTGAAATGTATCTAAGAATCCCCTGGTTCTCAGCACGTCCACAGCATGTCCGTGCTTTATTTTAAGCCATCTTAATGTGTCCTCGTCATCCCCAAGGAGCCCCGTATCGTGAAGGCCTCTAGAGTACAGGAAATTTCTCCTTCCCCCGGTGGCTTATCTGACAGCTTCCCATTTGCCTTCTATCTATTGCACTCAGCTTTGAATTTTAAAACCCCACTGTGGTTTGAAAAAGACTTAAAGCATCTTGAAGGATGAAATCAGAAACCTAGATTAGCAATTATGGGAAACCTGCCAGAAAGTGAAGTTTTCTTTTTTTTTCTTTTTGGGCTAAGGCAAAGACTTGAGGTTCAAGTGCAGTACAGACCCGTCGTCTGATAAAGTTGATATCCTGGTCTGTATATGTCACACAACTCCGGCTGACGTCATAACCGAAGGTATCCCTAGGATGACGCCTTCTTGCCTGGATTCAGGCAAACGCTCCAACATGAAGCCTCACTTAGGCTGAGTGAAAATTCGTCTTCCACCGCCTTTCCTCTCAGCTCCGCTCCTCTGCCTTAATTAGAAGAGACTTGCTAGGCTTTTCACCCTCCCTCCTGAGTCTCTGCACCCCAGGGTCAAACCTCCCCCCACCTGCCCCAGGCAAGGGCTACAATGTCCACCCCCACAGGGGAGAAAGCCAGGTGGGCTTCTTGAGCTATGAAACTCAGAAGGAGAGAGAGACATGGGGGAGTCACAGGGCTGGGAGGGGCCCTGGTGGTGATTAGAGCCATGGAAGAGCATAGGTGAGTGGGTGGAAGGAGTCCCAGTGTTCTCGACCCTCGGATTCTCATCTGCACAATGCAGTCATTCATCATTCCTCTCTAAATGACTGAATGCCAGCCTCGGTGACCGCATCGAGGGCTGTGCCTCCCCTCTCTCCCCAGGGCACCTCCACCTCATCTAAGTGTTGCTCTTCTCACCTTGGCCACTTCCGGTGTGGGTGTTCAGAGGCATCACCAAGGACACTGCAATTCGAGGTTCATTTGCACCAACCCAAAATAGCTAACACTGTATAACTCATGTCACAGGCCAGGCCCTGACCTGGTTGCCCAATAAGTTAAAATTCACTTATTCTTGAAAACAGTCTTATGACAGGAGTTCTCAAGTCATGAATATTAACCCAAGTTATAGATGAGAACATTGAGGTCCCCAGAGGGGAGATGAACTTGCACAGCTGGTTGATGGTAGAGTCAGTTTACAAACTCAGGCAGTCTAGCTCCAGAATTGGTGGCCTTAACCTCTGGGCCACCCTGCCCCTGCCCCTGCCCCTGTCCCTGGGTGCGGATTCTCTCGGGCCAACTCCACACGGATATATCTTCCCATGACTACAACAAAGACAGGCTTTCTCTTGTGTCTTTATAAGATACATCTTTAAGTCACAGAGCTTGTGACTGAAGGTGCTGCCATGCTATCTCCTCATTGGATGGACACCGATTGAGCTTCTAATTGATCTATGCTCACTCTTGCCGGCACGATGGCTACAGGTCTTCTTTCTGTCCCTCACGCGGCTCTCCATTGGGGGGAACGCAGATTTTCACCAAATGACTCGTCAAAGTGAACCAATCTAGCTGGGGTGGGGCTCCTGGCCAAGGAGGCATCTTTGAGCTAAGACAGGAATGGGGACAGAGCCATCCAGGGGAAGCAGGCAGTGATGCAGAGGGGATATTGTCAGGAGGCAGAGAAAAGCATCCTTATCAAAGGACCCTTGTGTGCCCAGGCCTTGAGGTAGAGGAAGCAAGGTGGCTTTGTGACCCTGGAGCCAGGGTCACCAAGGGGTGCTGGAAACCAGGCAGGAGTCAGAAGTTGTGTTTGGCTGTCTTTCTCACTGCTCCCTGGCAACACTATTCTGGCAGTTCATAGAGCAAGTTTCTCATTCTTTGATCCCTAAAGCTGTTTGTGGAAGCAGTTCTACAGACCTCGGGAGCAGGACTTGTGATACAGACAACCCTAATACCACGTGTCTGTTCGCTTCCCCGTCACTAACACTTTCAACCAGGGCTGTATTCGAAGGGAGGTAACACAGAAGAAAACCCTTGTAGACTGTGACATTTGTGCCTTACCCACACCCATGCTTTTATCCTTAATAACGGACCTGTGTGGGGTGTGTGCGCCCCTCGCAGTAGCAAATACACACATGCAAAGTGTTCAAAGTGGTGCCACCAAGGTAAGCAGCCATGCAGCTGTTAACCGCTGCTGTCTCTCTCCTGCCTCCCTCTCCTGTCCCAGGCCGTATGACAAGCACCTGAGCGTCCTGGAACACTCTCTTACCAGCCCGTGTCCTGCGTCTCTTTCAGGCCAGAACAAAATCTGCTTCATCCCAGGCATGGTGGGACCGATATTAGAGATGACACTTATCCCCGAGGCTGAGCTCCGGAAAGCCACCATACCAATCTTCTTTGACATGATGCTGTGTGAATACCAAAGGAATGGAGATTTCAAAAAGGTAAAGAAAAAAAAAATGAGGCCGAAACTCATGGCAGCACTCTGAATCCTCAGTCAGCTCCCTGTATGAGATCCTCGTTCCTCCTGCCTGCGTGTCAGTCACAGGCTCTGTGTCGCACAGGGGCCACCTATCCAGCGCCTGAGATGAGCCAGCAGGTTAGATCTGGTCACTACTCGATCACAGTTTTCTGCTCCAGGCTAAGATGGAAAGGTGCTTTCTTGCTGTGCATCTGCTCTGTTCCTTTCTCAAGAGGATAAAAATCTTTCTTCCCAACATAAATGGCTCTGAAAGGTGTGCTTCTATCCTTATGGCTCCTGCCATCTGCCCTGCCCTGGTCAGACACTAAACCCTCTGGGGGGTTCAAAGATCTCCATTATTTACAACGAAGCTGAGTCTGTGAGCCAGGCATCAGCAGGCTGCAGCCCACAGTGGACAGCAAATGGAGTTAGAGGCCTGTCCCCAACAGTGTGTGGGGGACTTCCCCAGCTCCACTCACATCTTTGTGAAATGCCAGGGTCCTTGGTCACGTATTTTGTTGGAAACTGGGTCTCTTGAAGAATGAGGACCATTTTCTGGGCCAGGGGCAGAAAATGTCCATTGTCACCGTAGTGCCTGGCACTGTCCAGTCATTCCCCTTGATTTAGGAAAGGTGGTCTCTAAGACACAGTAAGGCTGGCTGAGTCCTGCTCCCTTCCTCTCTGCCCTCTCTGGGTTCTTCTCTCTCCTTTTCTCCCTCTCCTCTCGTTCCATACCATATCCTGCCAGCAAATTTTTTTTCCCTTGAAACATGTTCTTACAGGGCAGATTCCAAATCCTTCCTGGTGATCCTTAGACAATTCTTAGGATTATGACCCTTGCTCATTGCCTGAATTTCCAACCCACGAGTTGGTGTTCCAGGTCCACACCCGGCTCAGACTTTCTGCTGAACTTGTGCGCTGTTCCCTCTGTTCTGTCCCCCACCTTGTCTGTTCTTCAGTCATCTCCATGGTTCCCCTGCATGGCCTTGATGCCCAGGTGTCCTTCCTCATGCATTTCTTCTTCCTTTTCTTCTCTGTACCCAGCCCTGCCGCCAGTACCCTCTCTTGGTCCCACAGAACCCATCACAGGTGCTGTGACCTTTTGTGACCTTTACTCCCAGTTCCTGTCATTTTATCTTTCCAAGGTATGACGACTATAAACCACCCTGCTTTATACTCACTTCTGAGCATTTGTGGGGTTTTTCCTCAACCTCACCTAATAAGAAGGATGATGATGATGGTGACAGGTAGTGACCTGACCGGGAGTTTACTGTGTGTCCGGCACTGCCTCCCACCTTCTATACATAGATCATGTGGGTGAGATTAAATGCCCATCTTAATGACAAAAAAACATTTGACTTAAAGATTTCAAATCACTTGCCCAAGTCACATGTCTCGAAAGTGGCAGAGCACAGGCTACTATGATCCCAAACCGCTGCCCTTTCCAGCACTGCCAGTGCACGTCCGCGGAGAGGTGAAAGCCGCTCTCCAGGGTCATGCTTCTAGTCTACAGTGCCCTGCCCACCATGGGGCACTACTCCAGCAGGATGCTCGGGGCAGGAGGCCTTCTGGTTAAAGACCTTTGACACAACTGTGCATTGCATCCCGTCTTGGTGATCTCACACCTATTAACACAGTCCACGGCTGAGGTACGCTGTGGTGAGCAGATCTGTTCAACTTCTCAAACTTATTTGTGCAAAAAATATCACTCAGCTCCACTGCCCTCCCAATCCCACCTTGGAAAGCACTCTGAGTGGGGTTAGGAACCGCTTTGCTGGGATGGCACCTCTGTGAGTGGACACTCATCCTCCTGGGGATGACAGGGAGGTCTCTAGCCCAAGAAAGGCCATCTCCCCCTGCAAGGAGCATGAAAAGAAACCAGGCTGGGGGGTTCAGATAGATAGAGAGCCCATCTCTGACAGCCAGGCTCAGGGAGCAGAGTGGAACCTGGGCTGACTGGAGTGTTTGGGATCTGCTGGATCAAGGGGCAATGACAAGACATGGGAACACCTGAAGGCACAACGTAAGATGACATCAGATGGCCTGCAAACAGGCGTGCAAAGGAAACACCACGTGCCTAATGGTGTGCAGTGTCCTAGGAGGGATTGAGCCCTGGTCACTGTGTGGAATGATTGCTGCAGGTGTTCAGCCATCTCATGTCCCCTCAGGGGCATGGCTGAACCATGATCTTCCTCCCTCCTGGATCCTGCACCTCCTTGTCTTCCACATGGGGTCATTCCTTGGGCTCCTCACTCCAGAAATGTGCTCATTGGAAGCATGTTCCCCAATTGCATCCTTTGCTGTTCCTTTACCAAAAGAGACAAGACAATCAGGCTGACTAATGGGGTAGTTGCTGGTGTGAAAACCAGCTGGAGCATTTGAAGGGAGCTCAGCTGGGAAACAATCAGGCCCCAGGAGTGTGGTGCAGGCTCTGAGGACATAGTCTCAGAAAGTGTCCCCAAGAAAGGGGGCAGCAAGGCCCTGGTGTGCCCCAGGCATCCCTGGTAGGCAGATCTGAGCCCAGATCTGAACCAGGAGGCCTCCAGGGCAAACTAGCAGTCAGAAAAGAAGGAGCAGATGCCTGGGGCTCCTTTCTGAAACTCACATTTCTTAGAGGAAATAACAGCCGGGCGGGGTGGCGAAGCTCTGATGAAAATGGAAGTGTTTTGGAGGAGCCAAGCTCCATCCCAAGCTCTGTGTAGCCACCATGTCAGGGGTAAGACTTGTCACAGTAATTCGTGGGAAATGTTTCTTGTACTGAGCCTTGGATCTACCCTAGTTCAAGTTCATCCATTCTTTGAATCCCAACAGTCCTTGGTTTCAATTCTCTCATTTGTAAAATGGCCGGGAACTGTCCTCGCCCTTGGCCATTGAGACATACATGAGGTCAGGATGCAGACAATGCCATGGTGACCATTGCAATGATGCTGCAGCTTCTTTGTGCTGATGCCACACTAGGCCTTGTACACATGGTTTCCCTGTAACTTCTCTCAGCGCCACCACAAAGTAGGTTCTGTTTTAAATCTACACTTAATAGATGAGAAGAATGAGCATCAGAAAAATTTATGAACTTGGTCACAGTCCTGTGGCTGAGAAAAATCATCAAAGCCAGACTCAACTAAGTCTCTTTAACACCAAAGCCTGTGATGGATCACAGTCAGTCCTGAGCACGGTGCCACCCGTCCTGGGAAGTGCCTGACAGAGACCTTAGCTCTCCCTCCTGCCCCACCCGAGGGCTCAGGCGCTGTGTGGCATCGTTGGGTGGGTGCTGCTCCTTCCCTGGCACCCTGCAATTTCTCTCCTGGCAGGCTCTTTTGTGACCCTCAGAGAAGGGCTTATTTACCCCATCTGCTTCTCTGCTCCCAAGAAAAGTTCCTGTCACCAGGAGGATGGGCGCCAGCCTTTCCCAGTGAGTCACTCAGACAGAAGACATGCCGCTCCTCTCCGGCAGAGCTGCCTTTCAGGACCCTCTGCGGTAACAACAGTGATAAGAGCAGCCACTCGGCACACAGTTGATCTTGTTCACCTCTCCAGTGCTTGCCGCGTAAAACCTCTGCTCCACATAACAGCTCCATACCGTGACTGCTGCTATGGTGCCCATTGCCTTGGCAAAGGCTTAGCCAACCAACCACAGCCTTCCTGCCAAAGCCACTCTGCCACCCGCCTTGTGAACAAAGTTGAACGAGACCCCAGCCATGCCTACTTGTGTCTGTGTCATCTGTGGCTGCTTTTGTGCCACAAAAATTGAGTCATTTTATCTGCAAAGCCTAAAATATTTACTGTCTGGCACTTTACAGAAAATCTTTGCCAACCCATGATGTAAGTCAATTGACTGAGAGTTGGAAAGACCTGCTAGCTCTCCTGATATGGCGGAGGGGATGGAGGGAATTCAGCTCCCACAGCCTAACAGAGAGGCTGTCCAAGTAACCCCTACGTCATTTCTTTCTGGTATAGGCTCAGCACAGACGACATCTCTAAGCAGGACAGCCCTGATATCAGATAATAAAACAAACAAAATGCTTGTCATAGGCATGACCATTGACTGGTGGTTCACACCTCTGCCAACACTCCCCCATGCAGGGCTCCTCCTAAGTCTTCCCTTCCATTGATTCATTCTTGAAGTCGGCTGCAGCTAAACAGCTGTCATCTCCTCATCCCCACCTCTGAGGCTTGCTCACCCCATCCCCCACTGGAAATGCCTTCCTTTCCCTGTATATCACTCCCCACCCTGCTTTCCAGACCTGGCGTCTCTTTCTGTAAGTCCCCCCACTCCATAACTGCCAGAAGAATCCTTTGCACCTGAACTAGCAGCACCAGCTTTCTGGTCCCTCCTGTGAGCCCTTCACACACAGGAGTGATGGATCGGTGCTACCGTGGATGAGATGTGAATGGAGGGAGAAGTGAATCAGGTCCCTGCGTTTTTGTCACCTGGAGACTCCAGCTGCACTGGGCTCCATCCTTTATGCCCTGAAAGGAGCTGCCCAAAAGTCTCTGCCACTCACCTGAGACCATCACTGACACTACCTAAGGTCATGTCAGGGCAGGCAAGGGCTGGCAGCCACTCATGCATTACTGGGTTCCAAGGTGACCCTCTACCTCCAGACCTCCAGGTGCTGTGCAGATGAGTGTGCAGAGGCTGTGTTGGGAGCCAGGAGTCCCCAAGGCCTCCCTTGACCTGGAGCCTTTGCAGACCTCCTTCTCCTCTCCAGGTGCCAGGTTCATGGCGAGCTTGAATGGTCCCTTCAGCGTGCCATGTTAAACACATTTTGAATGACAGTCACATCGAAGAGACAGTTTGACCCTTTCAAAACAATATGTTAATTAAGATGTGACCCCCGCCCCCACAGGGCACAATGCTTCCTGTTATTGTCACCAGGGAGGTGACAATTGGCCTCCATGGAATGGGGTGTGGTAGATTTCTCGAAGGACACATTTCCAGTCTCTTGCCTGCCCAGGTCCCTGGCGAATCCCACCATCTGACCCTCCGAGGGCTGGCATTTGCTCCATGTCTTACTTGTATTTTTCAGCATTTTTTTTTATTATAACAAAATTCCAGTGGGAAAACTTCAGTGCTCAAGCGTGGCAAGCATGGCATCAGGCCTCAGCCTCTCTGCCTCGTCTCCTTCCTCTGTGTGCTGCGACTCTCCCGGGCTCCCTCTTTCCAGTCTTCAGAAGCTGTGGGCTAAGAGTTTCAACAAACCTCCAGGAGGCTTTCTGTTGCCCAGGGTTTTATTAATCCTGGGGTCTGGGTGATGAACTACACTGATTAGAGTCCAGGCCAGTGTCAGGTGTCCACACCTAGTGCCACACAGGTGTAATCCGCCCCCCTAAGCCCTGTGGGCTGAGATTGGGGCTGACCTGATCACCAGGTAAGCAGAAGCAGTAGTTGTCCGTGTCAACAGGCCTGAGACAAGAGATCTCCCTCAACATGCCTCCTTAACCCTGGAAAACAAACTCAACAAGCCTGCTCTGTCTCCCTCTTCCTCTCCTCCCTCCGTCCCTCTTCTGTCCCCTCTCTCTGCCCCACCGCCTCTCACCCGTTGTCCCCACCACCCCTGGCACTCCTCCATTGCAGACAAAATATCCTGCTCAGTTTACCATTCCCAGATCCCAACACCAACCCTAGGAGATAGCCAGTGCTCCCTAAAACTTAGAGAACAACGCATAGACTAATGTCAACCCTTGTTCTTCTAACGTCCTTCTCGTTGACTTTCATCTCCTTCAGTTTGAAAATGAGATCATCCTGAAGCTGGACCACGAGGTGGAAGGGGGCCGCGGGGACGAGCAGTACATGCAGCTGCTGGAGTCCATGTGAGTTGCAGGCTGCGTGCAGGAAGGGCCGGGAGAGGCCATGGGTGTGGGATGAGCTCCATCTTTGGAAGAAGTCCCACATTTCTGTTTGAAGTGGTTGTTTTCCTTGATATTGATGGAATGGGCCAGATAAAAAGGAACTTTGCCATGCTAGAAAATGGAGTAATCTCCCACTGCCAAAATGCCAACTTTGTACAGAACTGTGTGTAATTGATAGTTGCCATTTTCCATTTCTCTTCTGTCAGATACTGCTTGTGAGCAGTGTTCATTCAGTACACACAAGGCACAGTACTGTGCTCAGTGCTCTCGGTGTCAGGGTACTGTGCTCAGTGCTCTCTCCGTGTCATGGTACTGTGTTCATTGCTTTCTGTGTCAGGGTACTGTGCTCAGTGCTATCTCTATGTCATGGTACTGTGTTCAGTGCCTTCTGTGTCAGGGTACTGTGCTCAGTGCTCTCTGTCACAGTACTGTGCTCGGTGCCTCTGTGTCATGGTTCCTCACATTGGATTTACTCTGGGACCCCCATCTCACAGATGTGGCTCCAAGACCCAGGGAAGTCTGAGGAACGAGGGCGAACTGGTGGAGTGTACAACCTTACCTGAGCCTGGCTCTGCCATACTCTAGCACCCAGGCCCAGCCCAGCAGTGGACAGTCCAGGCCCAAGACCACTGGACACGGAGTCAGGACACTTTGTCTTTACAAACATTGAGATATAATTCACACACCAGATAACCTGTCTAAGTGCACTATGTATCAGCTTTTAATATATTCACAGAGCTCAGCAGCCATTACCATAGCCCACTTCAGAGCACTTCCATCACTCCCCACTGCCACCCCTCACCCACGCCTCTCTGCCACCTTCCCAAGCCCCGCAGCCATGGTTCTGCTCTCTGCGTCCATGGGCCACCTGTTTTGGGTTCTGGGTGCTGCACGTAAGTGAATTGCACAACACACAGCCCTTTGTGATCAACTCCTGTCTCATAGCCAATGTTGTCAGGGGTTATCCATGTTGCCCGCACCAGCACTTAATTTCTTTTTATTACTAAATAATCACTGTTGACAAGTCCATTGGTGGATTTTTTGGCTGTTTCCATGTTTTGGGCCACTGGGATCCATTCTGTTCTGAGCAGGCAGGTGCAGGGTTTTGTGTGGACCTAGGCTTAGGATTCTTCTGGGTACACACCTAAGAGTGGAGTTGCTGGGTCACAGTGATGTAAATGGGGATATTTGATCTTTCGAAGAGCTTTTGTTTGCCAGTGGGGGCACTGTATCCCACCCCTCCAACAACGCAGGAAGGCTCCGACTTCCGCAAGCTTTAAACTTTCAGGATGACTTACTGAATGTAGCCATCCTAGAGAGTGTGACAGGACAGCTCGTTGTGGCTTTGATTTGCGTTTCATGATGGTTGGTGGCATGCATCCTTCTGTGTGGGGATGCCTACTGGCCATTTGCGTATCTCTGGCTCCCCCGTTTTGCAGCTGCATGACTTTGAGCAAATCCCACAATCTCTCTGACCTCAGTATCCCCATTTCTAAGTGGGAATAATAAGCTGCCCCCAAATGGATATTTTGAGGACTGAGTAATTAGTAAGCATCTGGCACTCAGCAGGTGCTCGCTTAATAAATGTTCAGTCCCCCGACCTGACTCCCCAGTTTCTGCCTTTGGCAGGCTGGTCATTGCCCCCCTCCCCTCCTACCCGAGACACCTTCTCCCAAGCTTCAGAAGATGGTCAGACACCCTTCAATGGTGCAGTCTCCGATTTGTATGATACTCTGTAACTCTGGCTTGTCATTCTTTCTCTAGCCTTTCTGTTTAACAACAGAGGCCTCACTCTGACCCCCCACGATGACCACCCCCTCCCTGCCCAGCCCTTAGAAAACCTGGGACTGAATGGAGCCTGGAGCCATGGTCTCCTCTGGCCCTGACCCTTCCTGTCACGGTACATGACCTTCTCAACAAAATGCAAACCTGACCTGCTGGGAGAAACCCATCTCTTGCCCCTCGGGTGGGTGCCAGCCAGGACTCGCTGTCCAGAGGCAGAAAAGGGGGGTTTGCCTGCGTCGTGTTCACCTTAAATTCTGAAAAAGGACAAATTTAATTTAAGTAGTCATCCATCGTGCTGGCAATATCCATTTTGGGAAACAGATGGTGCTCTACCAGATTTTGACCCCAGCAGGGTTTACACACCCTTCCTGTGTGACTCTATAAAAGCAGCCCTCAGAGGTCAGGGAAACTGAAGACAGCTCATTATTCTCCTCCAGAGGTGGAGGTGTGAACGCCTGGATGCAAAACTAATGGAGCATGGCCTGGGGCTCAGAGCCTCAGCAGGGCGTCCAGTGCGCCAGGCCCTGCCTCTTCCTTGCCCTCTCGGACCCTCGGGTTCCTTACCTGTAAATCGGGGATACCTTACTTCCCTCCACTTAGGGTCTCTGTGGAGATTGGGTGGGACGTTGTGTCAGGTTCTCGACACAGTTTCTTTTCTTTTTCTCTTTCGTTTAGCTTTATCCTAGCAATGTTTCCACACGTGCCAGGCAGGGAAAGTGTGTTCCCTGGTGGTGGTGGTGGTAGTGGTGATAGGGACAGGGCCTCTGGGTGGATAGCAATGCAGTTATTGGAACCCAGGAGCCATCTTTGCCCTCCAGGTCGGGCATCTCAGCCCCACCAGCCCTTTCTCCTAGTCTCCCACTCAGGGCCTGATCTGGCTAGGACTCCCTCTAGGCAGATACAGTCCTGTGGGCACAAGGCTTGGAAGTGGATGGTACCTTTGTGCCTTGAACAGGGCTTCCTTTTCTGTGGCAGTCACAGGCTTTCATCAGGGTACAATGCTTGGGCATGTGACTCTGTGCAGTGCACAAGCTGTACAACCCTCTGAGTTCTCCTCAGAGCCCACTCTCATTAACCCACATCTGTCTTAAAATGTGAGTCCATGCTGGAGGTAATAAAATGACACTGTGACCTGCCTAATTCCGTACCCTGGAATGTTTCTAGTGAGGAAGTGGAAGGGTGAAGGAGACCTAGGATGTGTGCTCTGGGGCCCAACTCCTGCCAAGCCAGCTCATCAGGAAGAGCTGTCACAGGGGAGGGCTTCCACAGGCAGTTTTTAAAGGGACAAATAGAAGTTTTGGTTCTGTCAGAACTGTCCAGCAACTCCCTCCACAAGCCCCCCATGCTGGGAGGTATGAGCTCCTGACAGCCACCCAGGCAGCAATCCAGGCAGAGGAGCGAATGGTCTGCACCCTCCTCCCACTGAGGGAGGGATTGTCTGCAGGGCCAACATCAGAACCCAGCCCCAAGGGTCTCTGGCATATTTTGGGGTGATTGGGATGCCTGCCTGGAGGAGTTCTGTGAGTATTCACATGACAATCAATGACAGGCCTGGAGCACAGAGAGGGTGCAATAGAGGGTGATATAGCTATGTCTGATGGCTCGATTTTATCTCTGTGTTTCCCCTGTGGGAGCCAGATCTCAGGCTCTAATGCTCTCTAAACCCTACTTTCTAGAACAGTACACATTGCATAGATGCATTGATGGATGGATGGATGGATGGATGGATGGATGATGGATGGTAGTGGTTAGGTGGATTGATGGGTGGATGGGTAGGTGGGATGAAGGATGGATGATGGTTGGATGGGATGAATAGATGGATGGGTGGGTGATTTCTAACCATCCATCTTACTAGTCCTAGACTTACCTGAGTGGCTTTCTTACCACGTAAACAAAACAGAAACTAGCTAGGCATAGTGACTCACATCTGTAATCCTAGGCACTTATGAGGTAGAGGTTGGGAGATTGCAGTTTGAGGCCAACCTGGGCAAAAAGTTTGCAAGATCCCATCTCAATCAATATCTGGACTTGGTGGGGCATGCCTGTCATCTCAGCTCCTGTGGGAAGCATAAGTAGGAGGGTAGAGGTCCAGACCAGTCTGGGAATAAACTCACGGCCCTACCCCAAAAATAACCAAGGCAAAAAAGGCTGGCAGAGTGGCTCAGGTGGTAGAGCACCTGCCTAGCAAGCATGAGATCTCAAGTTCAACTCCAGTACCATATATATGTCAAGAAGCCTAGCAACTATGTGAAAGCTCCCACCCGAGACACAAACGAGGGCCTAAGGACACCTGGCCTGGCCACGTTCAGGAAGAAAGACACCTTCTGTGAGGGAGGCCATGGGAAATCCCACAGCTAATGCTGGGAAGAAGCTGTGTGGCATTGACGGCTGTCGTGTGTGGGGGAGCAGGGCCGAGGTGGCTGTCCCAGAGAAGAGGGCACAGCTGTGATGGAGGGAGATCAGTCTAAATCACAGGACCACCTGCAGCTCCTGTTGGAGCCGGGAGCAGGTGCAGGTGCGGGAGCAGGTGCTGCTTCCGGGGCAAGGATGGATGTGTCTGAGCCCAGCCACGGTACCAGACACGGCCTCCCTGCAGCCTGGCGTGGCTTCTGGCAGGAAATGACCTTCTGAAGTCCTTGCTTTTGTATACCTCTTCCTCCTGAGATCGATTAGGGTTTGCCTGCCCACAGGAGCATGGTGGGACACAAAGCCTACAGCCTGTCCTCTAGGACAGTGTCGTGAGAGCATGCCGTGGTGTCTGAACCATGACTGTCTTGGTTTCCAAGGTCACCACTTAATACCTGGGTGATACGGGGACAGATTTTAGCATCTCTAAGTCTAGATTTCCTCACCTGTGAAACGGGAGGAACAAGGTCTACTCACCAGAACTCCTGTGTGAATTTCTTAAGAAAAGGGAGCACTTGAGGGCTTGGCACAAAATCAGCAATTAATAAGAAGCAGACGTTCATCAAATGGTGCCTCCTTCTGAGCCTGCAGGCTGCTGGAGGTAGACGTGGTTCCTCTGTCCTGGCATCTTTCTCCCCCGAGACTCCACCTCCCATAGTGTCTCGAGACTAACAGATGCCTACAGACTGTCACATTTTTATCTTTGTTCATTAAGTTTAGAATAGAAATATTATAACAAATGTAGTTTTTCTAGTAAAGACAAAGGCTTTTCTCCTCTACTTTTCATCCCAAATCCCTTGTTAGAACCATGATTAAGTATGGGATTTATTCTTCCTAACTTTATGTCATGTGTCACCTGTGCCCTGACACATGGAGTGCCAGACTGCTGACACTTACCATCATGTGTCCTTGGACAAGGTTGACCTCTCCATCTACAAGAGTCCAATCTTGGGCCAGGTGTGGTGGCTCATTCTATAATCCCAGATACTGGGGAGGCAGAGACTGGGAAGATCATGGTTTGAGGCCAGCCCAGGAAAAAAGTCAGTGAGACCTCATCTCAACCAACAGCCCTGCACATCTGTAATCTCAGCTATACAGCAGGCATAAGTAGGAGAATTGTGGTCTGAGGTTGGCCCCAGGCAAAACTGAGAACCTCCCTGAAAACTAACTAAAGCAAAAAGGGCTGGTGGAATGACAAATGGTAGAGCACCTGCCTAGCAAGCACAAGGTTCTGAGTTCAAACCTCAGTACCACTCCCCAAAACGAGTCCCATCTCATTATTCTGTGCTTGGAGATTAAATGAACCAACATTGTAAGATGTTAAGAATGACACTTGGGCCAGCACCAGTGGCTCACATCTGTAATCCCAGATACTCAGGAGGCAGAGATTAGGAGGATCACAGTTCTAAGCCAGCCCCGGAACTAGTTCAAGAGACCCTATCTTGAAAAAACCCATTGCAAAAAAAAAAAAGTGGGGGGGACTTGTGGAGTGGGTCAAGCGATATGAGCTCCTGCCTAGCAAGCATGAGACCTGAGTTCAAACCTCAGTGCTGCCAAAAAAAAAAAAAGAGAAAGAAAACAAACACCTTGTACCAATCAAACAAAAACATTGATCAAAGACTTATTTATCTCACGTAACTCTCCAGAGCTTTCTGTGTCCACACAGATTTCCAATATTTTTTAATGGCTTTATAGAAACACATTTATTAATAATTCACCTTAATTCATTTAACCATTTGCTAATTGACAGACACTTAAGATGGTCCCAGCTATTTCGCTTGTTAAGTGCAACTTATAAATTCTGTAAGTCCATCCTGGTACTTCTGAGAATATTTTTGTAGAACAGACTCCCTGAGGTGGAGCTGGGTCAGGGACAGGTGCGTTTAAATTGGTGCTGGATATTTTGAAAATTGCTATCTGAAAAAGTCCTGCTATGTCCCCAGAATATGTCTGCAAACGCCACCATTTCTCCACACCATTGCCCACACTGGAAACTTTAAATTTTATTTTTATTTTTTCCCATTCTGATGGTAGAAAAATGAAAACTTAGCAGGACAAGATGGCTCCCATCTATGATGCCATCTATTAGGAAGGCAAAGATCGGGAGGATGTAGGTTGAAGGCCAGACTGGACAGAAGGGTTGTGAGCCCCCATCTCAAAAATACAAGCTGGGTGCAGTGGTGCACACCTGTCATCTCAGCTATGCAGAAGTTGGGTTCAGGCTGGCCTGAGCATAAACATGGGACCCTATCTCAAAAAATAACCAGTGCAGAAAGGGCTGGCAGAGTGGCTCAAGTGGTAGAGCGCCTGCCTAGCAAGTGTTCAAGGTCCTGAGTTCAAACCCAATACTGCCATGAATAAACAAGCTAATTAATTAGCTAGTTAAATAAAAGCTGCCATGTGGGAGAATCTGTGCACACATGGGGATCAGGGGCGGGGCTCTCTGGGCTCTTTGGCTTCTGCCCCACCGTCCCCCCAACCCTCTCAGTTTCCCAGCCCTGAGCTCACACCCTCTGTCCTGCCACAGCCTGATAGAGTGTGCCGCTGAGCACCCCACAATCGCCAAGTCAGTGGAGAACTTTGTGACGCTGGTCAAAGGGCTGCTGGAGAAGCTGTTGGATTACCGGGGTGTGATGACAGATGAGAGCAAAGACAACCGTATGAGCTGCACCGTGAACCTGCTGGTACGTGAGCTGTGGACCCATCTCTGTGACAGACCAGAGTCCCGGGGCCAGCCAACCTCTGGGTGGGGAAATCAGACAGATGCTGGCTGCAATCCCTGCTGGGCCATCTGCCAGCTCTGTGTACTGAGGCCTTTCTGTGCCTCAGTTTCCTTATGTGTCAAGGGCAACACATCCCATGCAGGGAAACTCCAGAATAGAGGTGGGGTGGATTCTCACCTACCACTGACGGAAATTTCGCAGAATCGCCAGTCCTGGGCGCGCTCTGAGTCTTTCTTGCCCATCTGTCACCTGGAAGAAACCACAGTGCCTTATTCGTTGGGCTGTGCAGTATGGGCCATGGGTCAGTGTCCAGTGTGTGCTAGTTTCCCCATCCTTGCTGAATGGAGGGACAATGATAAGTACTGTTCTGTAATTCTAATAACCAGAATGTATAGAAAAGTACTAGGGACCATGTTAATCAGAGCAGCTAATCCCAACTCATGCTTTAGCCCCCACCTTACACGAGCTCCTGCCGGCCTGACCTCCCCAGTGCTCTGTGAGTCAGTCAGGGGGTCTGCACCAGCAGCCATGCTGCTTCCTCCTCATGCCCTAAAGTTGCACAAGTGAATAAGGTTGGTCAAAGCCCATGTGGCACCTGTCACATCCATGCCCCGCCACTGTCCCAGTGCTGCCCAAAGACGATTGATTCCTGTCCTGCACTCTGTGGTGTGGCTTCCTCTCACCCTGCAGGGACTCTTTAATGGCCTGAATTTTCAAGAATACGAAGAGGAGCTTAAAAATCCTGACTATGCAGAAAGCAATTCAGGGCTAATCACTCCACCAAGCCCAATTTACATTAAGAGCACAGGAGGGTTTTCCCATGAGCGAGCAACTTCTGTGAGGAGCTAGGAGCTGGTTGAAGAAATTGTCCTTCAGGGACAATTGAAGGAATTGTCCTTCGGGTCCCAGGGAGAAGGCATGGGACCAGCTTTTGATGTGGGACTCAGACGTGGTTTCAGAGAAAGGGACAGGATGGTGGGGGAGAGGCTGGTGTCAGGAGAGCTGACACTGTCCCGTGTCATCTGCCACTCACTGGTCCTGCCCTGGAACACCTGCCCCATTCTGAGCCTCAGGTATACACAGGTGCCTGGGATCACACCATGGGTGGCTCTTCCTTCAGATCAGGACCTCCTGGCCCAGAACTATAAGGATTTATGTAAAACTGTCATAGGATTGGGGTCCCTAGTGGGTGGAGGAGCCCTGGGTCACTCCTAGTGTGAACAGCCCCCACACTGGACTAGGACTCACTTCCCAGGTCTTGACAAATGTGCACACTTTGGCTGTGGATCCCACAGTAACTCCTGAGGGTTCTGTGCTGTCTGGGGTTAGACTCTGTTGGTATCATGGGATGTTTTTCCTCGCTCTCCACCAGGCCCCTGGGGCTACACTGCCTGAGCTTTTACAGATGAAGCCAGGTGCCTTTCTGGACTTTGTCAAAGTAGACTACCCTGTCCTGGAAGCCCACCTAAAAGCTCAGCTGCACCTCTGATATGTGATGGCCGGGACACTTCCTCTATCTCTTGAGGAGCAGGGAAGTGACTTTCAAAGCTGGGCTGTTGGACACTTGGAAAAGCCAATGTCCTGCTGCCTTTCTCAGGTGTGTCGTGTGTGAGATATGTAGACAGCAGGCCACTCTCTATGCTCTGTATCCCTCGTACTGGTAAGAAAAAACTCATCCTGTGTCTTTTCTCCTTCAGAATTTCTACAAAGATAACAACCGAGAGGAGATGTACATAAGGTAAGATGCTGATCTAAAACCCCAGCCTGCTGTGTTACCCCCTCCTCTCCCCAACATCCACCTTCATTCCCTGGGGCCTTCACATAGGATTTCAGCTTTCCTTCTTGGTGCTCAGGCCCCCTGTGTTCTGATTCCCATCAATTCCCCCAGATTCAACTGCGTCCATCCTCCCCCAGTCAGCCCCATAACCACACAAGGTCTCTGACCTCCACATACAAACAAAACAGTCCCTCTTTCACAGTCATGTCATTTTTTTCTTTTCCTTCTTTTATCTTCCACCCTTTTTGTGGGGTTTGTCGTGGATTGTCTTTTGGGGTGCTATTTCTTTGTTTTGTGTTGTCTATTTCCTTTCGGGTGTCGTGAGTTTTCTGTTGTTTTTTGTGTCATTTATTCGTGCCTGTTGTCGTTTTTTTTCTGTCATTGGTCGTGGTGTCTTCTGTCGTCCGTGTGAGGTGTTTCCTTTGGTTTGGGTTGGTGTTGTTGGTTCGTGGGTGGTTTGTGGTGTAGTACTTGGTTTTGAACTTGGGGCCTCTGCTTCTAGGTAGACGCTGTTACCACTTCAAAAGCTCTTACTCTGCCCCTTTTTTCATGTTAGGGCTTTTCAAAATAGGGCCTCAGAAACTATTTGCCAGGGGCTGGCTTCAAACTGTGATCCTCCTGATCTCTGCCTCCCGAGTAGCTAGCATTACAGGTGTGAGCCACCAGCACCCAGCTTCATTGCTTTTTTTTGTTTTTTTAAACTATTCAGCACATGAGAGCAAACGTGGTATTTGTCTTTCCCAGTCTGGCTTATTCTCTTGGCGTGATGACCCACTGCTACTGTGTGACACCCTAAGTTAGTCTTAGCATATGCTAAGGCCTCTAGCTAGCCTGCTTTTGAGGGAAAAAATACCAGCTTGCGGTTGCATTCGGCACGCTCCTTCCAGGCACGCGGAAAGATATTTTTGGATATTTTATCGATGAGTGCAGCTGTTTTGTGGGGACATTAGCTCTGGTAGGCAGTAACTTACTTTGCCACTTTTTTCTCAGAGCTATATTTCTTCCTCCAAAGATTTTTTGATTGTTATTTTTGACTCATTACAACAATAATACATATTTGTTTTACCAAAACAAAAAAACTCATAAAATACAAGCAAAACAAAAAAAAAAATAAATTCCCATAACCCATACATATTTCTAGGCCTTTTTAGGTTTGTATGTGCACATTGAATTCTATACATGCATTACTTTTTGCAAAAATGGAATTACATTACTAATAACTTATTCTTTGCTGTTTCTCACTTGACAAGAATTCCATGTGAATAGATATATTTCCACATCACTTGTAATCAAACTGTGAAGTTCCCTTTCCAGAATATACCATAATTTATATAGCCAGCCCTACGTGGCTGAACGGTTAGGCTGTTTCCAGCTGTTTTCCATAGTAAGCAGCACAGGAACAGAATCGTTGGATGTGAACATCCTCACAAGGCCACAGCCCCTGAAGCAGAACCGACCAGAAGGTTAACGAGCAGGCTACTTACACGGCCTCTGACAGATTTGGTCCAAAGGCAGAGACGAAGCCTAAACTTACTCCACTGTCACTGCAGATAACTTTAGATGCTTAGTTCAACACTGTTCTAGAAGCAGAAATGATCATTCAGGAAAAACATCATTCTGCAGTTTGTCCTGAGCCATGGCTATTTATGGCATCATTAGAACTGAACCACTGTGGCCACGTGGAGACAGAAGGACCAGGTCCTCACCCTGTTCCCTCTCCTGCAATTGACTGTGGTTTCCCATCCATGGAATATTCGCGTTCTACCTTCCACGTCAAGGACTGACTGAGATGCCATGGGCGTGTGCCCTCCCTTCTGCCTCTTCCCGCCCCTTCCCGTTTCAGAAGCACAGATGGTAGATCCCAGACCCTCACGATTGGAGAGCTGGCCTGTGTTAACTTAGAAAGGCCACATCGCCTGGACCTGACATTGCAAACGGGTGCGGTCTGCAAACCTGTTGTTTGGGACACAGAATATTAAAAGCATTCTTAGTTGGTTGCCCCAATTTTTAAATCTAGAGATTGTACATAAAAGCAACACTGCTGCTTCTCCTGAAGAACCCAGAAGGCATCTCGGCACTGGACCCTCACCCCATCTGCCAGCTGTCTCCTGCACCAGGTGGTGGTGGCCCTTTAGAGATAGGGGGACCCTGTGGCTATGAGAGTGTCCCTTTTCTGTCCCTCAGGTATTAGAGGTGTCTGGGTCGACACCCCTGGCTGGGCTTCATGGGAGGGGGTTTCTTTAGGGCTCTGCATCAGATGACCAAGTCTTCAAGGTAACAGAGGAGGGGTGCCTTGGCCTGTTCAGGAGGTGGAATAGCTCTCCCCTGGGGTTTTTGGGCCCAGCAATCTCAGGGATGAAGGATGGACAGGAAGAGTAAGGCGGGAGTAAGCCACACCCAGGCATTTCTCACTTCTGAACGCTATCTGGAGGCCATGTGCAAGTTCACTGCTAACTCTGACGGGCAGAACATTGTAGTTGGGGAACAGAGTAGAAAAAAGGAGCCCGGGGTGGGCAGAAGGAGCTGGGCTTCTCAGCTATTCCAACATAGACTTCAGTTTCTCATCTTAAGAGCAGTGCTGGGAGGAGGGATTGATAGCATCAGGTAATAAAAGCCCTTGTTGGTTTTCTGTCTGGGATGTTCCCCCATTCATTCCTTCCTGCTTCAGAGCCCAGCTCTCTTCCCACCTCTCAGGTGGGAAGCCTTTCTGAGATGCCCTGTGTGAGTAAGCCTTCCATTGCTGCGTCAAAATGCCTGAGGAAATGAACTTATAGAGAAGAAAGTTTTATTGCCGTCCCGGTTGCCTGACCCTGTTGAATCTGAAACCGTTTTCCACTATGCATTACTACCTACTGTGAATTACATACCCTAAGAATTTACAAGGCCCTTCCCTTGTTCCCGTTCCTGTCCTCAACGTCGTTCAACTGAACTCACATCCAGGGTTCAGAACTGGATTGTGGCCTTGCAGAGGGACAGGAGCTGGACTGTGGCTCTCCCTCCTGATCACTCGAGGCCTCCTCTGAACGTCCATTCCCTCCCTTCCTTTTATACCTTCTCCACAGCGAAGAGAGGGTAGGAACTGGCCTTGACAGTTGTGGCTCTTCCTAGAGAATACAGATCAGGTTGGACTCACAACCAGTTCTTCCGTTCATGACCCCTGACAAATTATCTCTCCTTCCTTTTATTTCCCTGGCTTGTCATACTGCATTGCCCACACCCTTCAGTGCCAAGTTGCGTAGCATCTCAGAGGGTCCCTAACTTCTCTGGGTCATGTTTGCTTATCTGAAGATAGGAACCCCTCAATGACCCATCTCTCAAAAATTAAAGATTAATCTCCCAGATGAAACCATCTAAGGCATCTGAAACACCTACATAGGACCCAGCACGTGCTAAGAGCCCATCAAGAGCCCAGCACTGTCGCTAACCACCATGTGCAGGGTGGAGGACTCCCCTGAGGTCTGGACAGGGGCCCAGTTTACTCTATCTGGCTCTTTCCTGTCCTGACCAGACACCTCCTTGTCATTGTACCTGGTAACTCAACATATTTCCCTCAAACAGGTACCTATACAAACTCCGTGACCTTCACCTGGACTGTGACAATTACACCGAAGCTGCCTACACGTTGCTCCTTCACACCTGGCTTCTCAAGGTACAATCCTGTGATGAAGCCCCCATGGGTTCTACAGCAAGCTGAAGGGTTCAAGGGAAGAATATGTGAGCCAAATGAGTTCTTCACTCACTGTCCCTAAACTCTTGACCTGGCAAGAGACTCTTCTGCCTGGTTCACCTGGTCACATGGGGTTCTGCTCAGCCTGTATATTTCAGCAGAGTTTGCAGTTTCCAGAGCATCCAAACTGTTAGCAGCAATAAATCCTTTGCAGGCCCACTGAGCTGCTTTCCTTCTCCCAGACACCCCACTGTACCTGGACAAAGGACAGAGTCAGAACGATTTCCTGTGAGTTTTGAAGAGCTGGAACTGTATAGCACAGCCATTTGGAGACAAATCCTACAAACTACCCACCAATAAAGAACCAAGAGAGGCCCCATTAGCAAAGCTCAGGCAGTGATTCACAAATGGAAATTGTGACCATTGATACCCAAGGTCGTGGGTAAGCCAGCAGATGGAGCATATGGGACTTTGTCCTGCTCCTCGTCAGTGCAGTTCTGCTAACTCACGTCTGGGACACTGGGGCAGCTGGAAAGCAGCCTCCAAACATCTGGGGTTCTTGTGCCTCAAGAGGGTGGCCTCCCCAGTGATACCCCGAGTTTCTAAAAGTGAGCTGAATTTGGGAGAAGATTAAAGAAGGAAATGACAAGGCCTGGGGCAGTGGTTTCTGCCATGAAGTCCTGGTTTCTGCCCTTGGCAGCCCCTTGGCACCGTGTGACTCCCGTGTCTTCTCTCTGCAGTGGTCAGACGAGCAGTGTGCATCCCAGGTCATGCAGACAGGCCAGCAGCACCCCCAGACCCACCGGCAGCTCAAGGAGACACTCTACGAGACCACCATAGGCTACTTTGACAAAGGAAAGGTAAATCCAACCTGCCCTCCTCCTTGCGTGGGTAGCCCGGCCACTGGGAGGGACAGGTCTCCCCCATGTCCGTACCCAGTCCATCCCCAGACTTGCCAGCGAGCCCTCAAATCCAAACTGCGATCACCTCTTTCCATCCTCTCTCCACCTTCCTCCTTACCTCCTCTCAAAGCAGCCACACCACTCACCTGGATGCCACAAGGATCCCTACCCCTTTCTCTGCTCCCTTCATTGACCTCAACAGATCGCTCTCCATCCAGAAAGCAGGGGGAGCACAAAACATACACCGAGGCATGCCATTGGCCTGGTTACAGTCATGTCAATGACACCCCCCATTCCACTCAATAAATTCACCTTCTTCCACATCACCCACAGGTCCCGTGTGAGCTGTGCCCTGTTTCTTATGTCATCCAGGTCTCTCTTACTCAGATGCTCTGTGCCAAGCTCTTTCTGACCTCAGGGCCTTAGCACTTGCTCTCGCACCTTGCAGCATCCCTTCTCCATAGCTTCCCACTGGAAGGCTGCTCCTCACTTAGAGGTGGCTTCCCTGACCACCTCCAGACAAAGCGCAACACCCCAGTCCCAAGTCAACTTGTTGCTACTTCAAAGCACTTGGCCACTATGAGACTTCACCTCCTTCATTTTGGAGGTGTACCGTCTGGGCCCCCACTACCCAATGTCATGAAAGGAAAACTGTCTTGTTTGCTGCTGAATGACCAGTGTCTAGAACAGAACCTGGACCCTAGGGACCAATGCCCGTATGCTGGGTAAATAAGTGGACTGACTGGAAGAATGACATTGACATTGTGGCCATCACTGAGTTTTAAGTACCAAAGACCCTTGGTTGGCCAGAGGACAACCAAAGCCACTGCTGCCCAACCCCACCTTCCCATGGGTCTCCAGGCAATACCAGACCAACGGCCACCATCTGAGCTATGTGCTCAGCTGTGGACACCTGGATTCCACGTCTCTGTCCACTTCTCTGGTGCTGACAATTTTCTGGGCTCTTTGACACTCCAACTCCCCATCCACTATAGTGAGTTGCTAACCGTGCTGACTTCCTAGTTGTAGGGTGAAAATTAGGCGAGAAAACACACGTAGAACATCAAGTGTAAGGAGTGGGCTGTAGCAATGTCCTGTCAAATTTTAATTATGGTCATTGCTACCTGACTCTCCACTGCCCCTCATGAGCCTCCCCTCTGAACGGCAAGGCCTCTTCCAGTTCATCAGAACATCATGTAATGCTTAGTGTTGGTCTGCCCTGTCCTGCAGTTCATCGTCCCTTCACAGTCTGCCTGAAAAGAAGCAATGAGGTAACGTCTGCAGAAGGGCTTATAAATTCCTGGGGCCCAGCAGTTGGAGAAGGCTGCTTTTATAATTTACAGTGCCTCTTGAGGGCAGAGATGCTGCCATCTCTGGAACCTCCTGCCCCGCTGGGCATCAAATCAGAGCCTACTGTTTGCTTATTGCGGTGAAGTCAGTCCCAGTCTCCAAGGGACACATTGGACTTTGTCCTCAGTAAGGAGTTCAGTCCTCTGTGCTGAGCGGAGAGGAAAAAGGCCTGGGCCCAAGAGTTACTGTCCCTTTGGCAAGTGGACATGGCCTTGTCATTGATTTGCAGGTTGCTCTCTGTGGTGTGTGATGGTGGGCCTATGCAATGATGGTGACCCTCAGCCAGCAGTGTCGTACAACGGCAATGCTGCGCAAAGTGAGGGTGAGGACAAGGGGACAGAATAGCGCCAAGTACCCTGAGCGCACAAGAGTCAGAAAGCCACTGCTGTGGAAGCTTCTAGAACAAACCCCAACTTCCTCGGCAACCCTCCAGCTTTCCCTCCCCAAGCCTCTGCAGGGGGATTCATTACTGCAGACTTTCCCCACCATATGTCCACCATGTTGTCACCTGAGGGACTTTTCGGTGCCTCCCTCAGCCCCCACGGTTACTGAATCACCTCCTTTGTCCTCCGATGCTCCTGAGGACAGGCCTGTGTCTTGTCCATCCTGTATCTATCTGTGCACATCAATATGTCTGTCCCCCAGGCCCTGTGCCCAGAACCCAGCACCTGTTCATCATCACCAAAGATCAGAGACAGTCAGAGGTCCTGGGCACCTGGGAGGAGACACCTGGTATCCCATCCTCTCCCCTGGCCTCTTAGTGACCCCTTGGCACATGGGGAGAGGTCACTGTACCTGTTCATATTATAGAGCAGTCTCCAGAGGCCTGCACTGGAGCCCACAGTCCACCAGCCAGCCAGGGCCTTCCTGCCGCCTTCCCATTTTCGAAAGACACGGACTTGGTTCCTTCTGGCACATAAAGCATTTTTATGCTGCTCACTAAGCTGTCCGCGGGTTTACAGCCCCGGCTCCTCCACTTCGCATGGCTTTTATTTATTTTCGTGCTTGGGTGCAGAGAGAGCGCTTTGGTTTCAAAGCTCACACTGCATTTGCGACCTCTCCCGCCCCTTCCCCAGCATTTGCATTTTGGAGCACTTTCCATTTTAAAGTCTCCGATTGCCAGGCCTCAGCCCACCTGTGCTCGTGTCTCCCCCTGCCTGGCCGAAGAGGTGGGGAGCAGGGTGGTCTTGGCTTCTGGCTTAAAACAGAGCAAGGAGAAAGTAGCCCAAGTTCACATTTTTAGAACTTATTTTGAAGATGAAGAAAACCTACCAGAAGAGTTTGAATCATTGTTCAATAGCCTTGAACCTCCCCATGTCTCCTCCGTGCTGCTTCCTCCTCACTCCACAGCCCTGTCACCCACTTAGAAGGGCAGGACTGGCAGGACTTGTTGCTACTTCAAAGCAGCACTTGGCCACTATGAGACTTCACCTCCTTCATTTTGGAGGTGTACCGTCTGGGCCCCCACTACCCAATGTCATGAAAGGAAAACTGTCTTGTTTGCTGCTGAATGACCAGTGTCTAGAACAGAACCTGGACCCTAGGGACCAATGCCCATATGCTGGGTAAATAAGTGGACTGACTGGAAAAATGACATTGACATTGTGGCCATCACTGAGCTTCAAGTAGCAAACACCTTTGGTTGGGTTTGGCCAGGAGATCCAGTGGAAGATGGGATTGGGCAGCAGCTGCTTTGGGAACCAAAGTCTGGATCCATCTTCCTTTCCAGAAGCCCTCTGACTTCAGGCTGCTTGTTCACTGCTCTGTGAACCATTTCTCTTTGGAAAATGCCCTGCTGCATGTGGAGAGGTGGAGGAGGGGGAGGTAGAATTTGGACAAGGCAGGGAACGGGGTCACCCCACTGGGCTTGCATGCTGGCCCTACTTCTGGTTGGGCCAGTGACCTGGGATGATAGCCTTGCTCCCTGAAACTCTGCTCATTAGCTTTACATGAGGATGCTGTTAGTTACATTCTAGAATGGGTAAGAAGAAGCAGAGGGTACGAGAGGTAGCATTTAGCCTACTCCATTATTCATCAAGGAACTGGGATGAGAGACCAAGAAAGGTCGTCCTCCCTGGGGAGCCCCTGGTTCTCTCTGTGTGGGAGTCAGGCCATAAGTCAGGCTTATGGCTCAGTCCCAGGGGGCACAACACAGCCCAAGTCCACTCCTCAGCAAAGACTTTGGAAAGCCGGGCACCCCCTAAGCTTTGTTTCCGTGACCTTCTTGTAGATGTGGGAAGAGGCCATCGGGCTGTGCAAGGAGCTGGCAGAACAGTACGAGATGGAGGTCTTTGACTACGAGCTGCTCAGCCAGAACCTGGTAAAACCCCTGGGGAGGCTGCCCACCTTGAGCTGGGCACAGAGGACCTCGCTCACCTAGAGACTGGGAGGAGGGGGAGCAGGGAAACAGAAGAAGAGTGGGAGTGAGCCTGAGTGAGGTCAGGCACAGCGGTGCCCTCCCAGCCGGCCGGATGGCACATCAAGGCCCTGTGTGGCCCTGGGGCCTCTGCTCACTGCTGTGACTGCACACCCTGAAAAGGCTGTGCTACATTTTCAGTAAAACGTCCACAAATCACCTAGTCAGTTAAATAAAAACACAAACTTGGGCTTTTCAACGAACAGATAAATCACATTAAAGTGTTCCCCATCTGGCTCTTCCCGCTAGCATCTTGATACTCAGGACTTTGGTGGGGGCAGGAGAAAGTGGGGAGCCCCCCGCCCCGCCCCCAGTCCTGCTTGTGCTGCCGAGTGAAGCCGTAGCGGGCATTGCCTCTGCAGGGAAAATGCGAATTTGCCTGCTGCCCCCTCCCCACACCTCCACATTGTTCTTGGCTGCCTGAGAGTGCACCCTCAGGCCTCCCCCAGCCCGGGGAGAGAGGCCAGTCCAGAGCTTCCAGGAAACCATAAAACGAGAGTTGGAATGCTGAGAGAAGTTTCATAGCTTTTTCTTTGAGGTGAGGGGAGGGTGTAATCTTGTTAAAATTCACTGAGCTGTTAGCTGTTCTCACTGTGTAAGATATGACACAAACACACACGTGCTCGCACCAAGAGACACTTCCATGTCGCCATGTATGTCTGCAAGGCACAGTGCCCACCTGATAAGCACGCATAGCTCCTGCACAAGGCCCAAGTCACACAGGCACCTGTCCAGATCCACTGAATCCTGCCTACCACATGAGCGCAAAGACGACACTGGTCAAGAGAGGTCTCTTTCTGTGTAGGCAGCCACGTCAAGATTTCTGTAGAGCCAACAGCAATGCAGGATGCCGTGGGGTAAAGTGAGGTGCGAGTGTTTCCAGCGATGTTCAAGTGTGATAAACACGCACCCCTTAGAACGGGTGAACTCTGAGGTGTACACACACAGGAGGACATTTTCATCAGGAGACACCTGTCCGTCTGTACATCCTCAGGAATACACGCCCCTGGGCACAAAGTAGGGGACACCATGGCAACGTTGGGGTCCCGATGCACCTAACTGGGCACGGTTCCCTATGTAGTGGCTGCGTTGAGGCACCGTTTCTTTACCGCAAACTGGAGAGGACACAGGTGAGTTGACCAGTACAGGTAGAGAACTCAGTGGCCGGTGTGTCGCAAATGTGGCTGATACCATTATGACACACAGCCAGCCGCAGATCCGCAACGAGGTCACCCGCGCCACACTGGTTCTGGTGTCACCATTCCACTGCCACCGGGGCCTCTGCGTTGAGCGTGCCTTGGCTGTGCGCCAGTGTGGTGGCAAAGTGTGTTTCCTTCTTTCAGATCCAGCAGGCGAAATTCTATGAAAACATCATGAAAATTCTCAGGCCCAAACCGGACTACTTTGCAGTCGGGTACTATGGCCAGGGATTCCCCTCCTTTCTACGGGTGAGTTTGTGGGTGACTCAGGCGAGGGCCTCAGGGCCTTGGCATCTCAGCTGCCCCCGTGTGCTCTGAGGAGTTCCTTGTACTCAGAATCTCATGTCCCAGCAGCCGAGCTCTCCTGGGTCAGAGCCCTGCCACCATCCCCAATAGGCTCCAAAGTCAGTCCTCCCAGGGTAACTGCCAGCACAAAAGGAAAGTGTACTTACAGCAGAGATACATTGAGAAACCCCTTGGAACATCAGTTTAAATATTAATAATGAAAGACAGGACTATAAAATAGGTACAGTGGGGGTTACGAGTTGAGGGGAGGGTGAATGAAGGAAATTAAGGTGAGGGTATATGGGCTTCATATACCTATATGAAATAGAACAAAGAAACCTCTCGCAACCACTTTCAGTGGGGCGTGGAGGGGGTCTAGGGGAAGGACAGTGGAGGTGATCTAACCAATGTACAACACAAGCCTATTTGGAATTGTCACAATGAATCTCCCCTATACAACTAATATATCCTAATAAAAAAGAAAAAGAAAAGGCAAATGATGGTTTAGCGTTGCTATGAAAGCAGTTTTAGTCTTGTGGGTCCCTAAAGGGTCTTGGGGACCCTCAGGGTCCCTCCAGCATAGCTTCTGAACTGCTGACTTAATGGTTCTTCATCCATCGTGTCAAGAGTTAGATCAGGCCACCTGGAGGATTCCTTCTAGTCTGTGGTTCTGTTCTTGGGTTGGGGAGATGTGAAAGAAATAGCAAATCGGGTCCCTGACTCACTGTGACGACACTATGGAAGTCATGGTTCATGGAGTGACCACCATGAGCAGAAGATGGCATAGGTAGGAGGGTGCCCTGGAGGAAGTGAAGGTGGCCTCACCTGAAATCTCAGAGAACGTGTTAAGAACACACATTCCTAGGCCTGACTCCCAGAGACTACATTTCAGCAGGTCTGCAGGGAATGTGAACTTTAAAGGACTTCTAAGAACTGGTATGGTGGCACTTGCCTGTAATCCCAGCTACTCAGGAGGTGGGGGTAGGAGCATCACTGGCCCAGGTTGGCCCAGGAAAAAATGTGAGGCACTATCTGAAAATTAACCTAAAAGCAAAAGGGCTGGGAGTGTGGCTCAGGTGGAGAGGTTCCCGCTTAGCAAGCTGCAGGTCCTGAGTTCAATCCCCAGTACCCCAGTGAGGGGGAGCGGGGGCAGGTCAAAGGCTCCCGGGCTTCTCTGATGCCTAGCCAGGGTTGGATGTGCAGATACACAAAGGTAAGTGACAGACTTGGCAGGGACAGAAGAACTTAGAGGCCATCAGAGGCAGCACAGATGACACAGGTCAGGTCTAGACCAGTCTCTCAGCCTCGGTGCTAGTGATATTTGGGTCAGCTAAGCCTTTGGTGTGAGGCTGTCCTGTGCATTGTGAGGTATTGCAGTGTTCATAGTCCTTTGCCTCCCTCCAGTAGCATCCTTAATCCTCACTAAGACAACCAAAAAAATGTGTCCAGATATTGCCAGTGTCCTTTGGGTGACAAAAATCACCCCTGGTTGCGAACTCCAGGTCTAGAAGAGGTGATGCAGGACCTGGGCCCACGGGCCCAGCCTATAAGCCCGTTAAAGGTGGGAGAGAAGTTTTGTGGCCATGTAAATAGAAGAGTGGGCATGACACAGTGCAACATGAGCAAGGGATTATTCTGGAAGTTGTACGTGGGATGGTTTGGAGAAGAAAATTCCCATACTTCATCTGACCTCCGTTTAAACCAGGCTCCCCCAAAGAGAGCAGGGCTGGCTCAAGTGGTAGAGCTGCCTAGCAAGTGTGAGGCCCTGAGTTCAAATTCCAGGAGCACAATAAATAAAAGATAGATAGACAGACAGACAGACATAGATATAGATGGTTGGATGGATTGACCGATCGACAGATATAGATGGACTGACGGATGGATAGAGAGAGAGAGAGAGAACCAGGCTCTTTAAGAAAGTAGAGTACCAACGAGTTAGTGGCTTGAGCACCTCTCTCTTTCCCTGTGGGGAAAGAGAGGAGGGGCCCATGCGTCCTCAATTCACGAAGCCCCCAGCATGGCTGAGCAGCCACTCCCGCACAGCAGGGCCCTGGGATCTCTGACTACGGTGTGTTTCCTCTGCAGAACAAAGTGTTCATCTACCGTGGGAAGGAGTATGAGCGGAGGGAGGACTTCCAGATGCAGCTCATGAGCCAGTTCCCCAATGCAGAGAAGATGAACACGACCTCAGCCCCAGGGGAGGATGTGAAGAACGCTCCAGGCCAGTGTATCCTTGGAAAATATCCCCAGAGGGGACCTTAGTCCAGGGAGACCCACTTAGAGCTCAGAGCTGCTGCCAAAATCACTTGGGGGATAGTTTGGGTGTCCGGTGTGGGATCCAAAGAACCTGTCTCCATGCAGCTGGACCTCCATATCCATGGGGTCCACCCTGTGAATTCACCCAAGTGCGCATTGCACATCCTGGGGGAAGGCTGGGCCTGTACTGACCACATGCAGACTTTGTGTCCTCGTCATTCTCATGTAAACCATACGGTGTGATATCTACTTACGTAGCATTTTCTCCTGTAGTCATCACCACTCATTTTGGCATGATTTAACATATGTGGGAAGATGGGCAGAGACCTGCCATTTTATGCAAGGAACTTGAGCACCCTCAGATGTTAGTGTCCACCAGTGGATACCAGGGACTCTGAACATCCTGCATGTGACACCCACTAATTCAGTCACCCCTCGTTCATTTCTTCTTATAATGAATGCTGGGAAGCTGCAGTTCTGTACCAAATATCAAGCAAGGATACACTCACAGGCTTCTTCTCTCAGGGAGCTTCCAGGACAGCAGGTGAGAGGTCAGAACCACTACACGCATTACTGACTATCTACAGAGACAGGACCCAGGCCAAGAGGAAGCCATGCAGGGTCCTGTGCTGGGAGCACGGAGGTGGCTTCCTTGAGGGAGTGAGGACAAGGGTTAGCAGGTGGCAGGGAGATGCCCAGACAGAGGGAGGACACTGTGTGACCGGAAGGCCTTGGGTAGGCAGGAACACACAGGTTCTAAGGACTGCACTCACCCCACACTGCTGCTACGATAAACCCCAAAATTCCCGAGACAGGCTGCAAGGCTGTCCCTGACCTGACTCCTGCCCATCCAGCACCATCGTCCCCAAGTCTGCCTCTGGTTCTCATGTCCTCTGGCCACACCAGCCTCCTTTCTGTTCCTGAAGCAGGTCCCTTTGTTCCCTCCCTTGGACCTCTGCTTCTCCCTCCCCTCTGCTTGGGATTCCCTTCCCCTTGCTCCTTACACAACCAGCTCCTGCTCACCATCAGATCTAACTTCGTGTCGCCTCCAGGAAGAGCCAGTCCTGGTCACTTTATCTAAAGTGGCCTTTCTGGACCCTTCATGAGCCTGTGATCTCAAACCCTGTTTGCTTTCTTTGAAGAATTGATCCCAATCTGCCATCTTGTGTGCTTTTTTAAAGGCAGGTGTGGGGTAAGAGAATGTCAGCTTTGTGAGAGAGAGAAGACATTTGCTCTGCCTGTTTCCTGCCCTAATCCCCCTTTTCCACAGAGCCTGAGCCCACCGCTGGGAACTATTTGTTGGTTAATAGGAAAAAAAACAGAAAACGAGAAAGAAGAAAGGAGGGAAGCAGGGAGGAGCCAACTCACTTGGAGTACACAGAGCAGGGCGGACGTGACACAAGATAGTACTTGGGGATGCTGGAGAAGATATGACCTGATGAGTGATGACACAGCAAGCGTGGTGTCCACAGGGCCAGGCACTGAGGGTGGGCAGCAGTGGGGTCACAGCATGGGGAGCACACAGATGCCAGCGTCAGGCTGACTGCACACTGAGTGGTGTATTAGCCCAGCCTGGCCCCCTGCATTGCACCCTTCAGCACAGATGAAGTTACAGCCTTTATGCACGCCTGGTCTGCTCAGTCTGCTGAACCTTAATCCAAATGTCCCCTCGGGTGATAAATATGCATTGGTAACCTTTTCCTTATGCCTCCTCGCCCTTCCTGCCTGCTCAGCCATGGCTGTTTGCAGGAGGAGATGTGACTGATAACAGGCTGCCTGGTAACAAGCAGGTCCCAGGAAGACGGGATTAGCACTAAGGCCCTGCTTAGTGGACATCCAGGTGTTAGGCAGCTGTGCGGCCCTTTAACACGGGGCAGGGGCGAGAGTGTATTCCCAGACTATGCCATCAGATGTAGGATGCAGAAGCTGGGGTCACTGCTAGGAACCAGATGAAAAAGGAGAGGGAGAGAGCTTGCATTTGTTCACACCCTTCATGGGACTGAGTGTGCCATGGCCATTATTTCTTTAAATCCCATAAGGTGCTGTAAGTCGGGTGTTCATTTTCCCCATTTCATAGAGAAGGGATGTGTGAGGCACAGAGCAACTGGCCTGAGGTTATAAAGCGAGTAAGAGGTGGAGTTGCTGTCTGCACGCCAAGACCTGTCTGTCTCAAAACTTATATGCTATTACCTTGTCATTTTTTTGAGATTGCAGACACCATGCTGTCCATTAACTGTTTTCGTGTGCCACCCACTGTTTGGTCATTTCTACATAGCACTCCTGTGAGCTGGGCTGTACTGCTCTGCATTTTGCTAGTAATAAAACTGCAGCTCAAAGTTATGCAGTTCACACAAAGTCATGGCCAGGAGGCAAAGGAGCTAGGATTTGAACTCAAGCCCACTGTTTGCCCAAATCTTGAATTCTGAAGCTTCCGTTCTCTTGCCTTTTCACTTGTTAAAAAGTTACTAAGCAGTTGGGGAAGGTGACAAGTTTCAGGACCTCTGTGGAGCCCTGATTCCATACACAACAGGTGCCATGAGCGTCTAGCCATCAAGTTCCTGGGACACAGAGGCTACTGGTGTCACATGCTTCCCTAGAACAGGTTTGATTCTTCTCTTGGATCAGGAGTAATGGCTAAGATCTGGAGACATGGTCTAGAACCTTCTCGAAAGGAGGGGTTGGCCACACAGGGAATATTCCAGTCTTGGAGGGCCATGCACCCCCTGTTACAATGACTCAACTCTGCTGTTGAGTGGGAGAGCTGTCATTAACAACACACGATGGGGAGCATGACTGAGTTCCAATAAAACCTTATCAATAGGCACTGAAATTTAGAATTTTATGGCATTCTCACATGTCACAAAATGCTATTTATTTCATAGCCATATGAAAGTATAATGTCTATGCTTAGCTATGGGTTGTAGGGGACAAAATGTTTTTTCTTACAAGCTGTGTGACCTTCAACAAGTTGCCTGGCTTCTCAGACCTTGACAGTGACAAGTCATCCAGTGCAACTGGAGGGGTTAAATGAGACCATGGGGAGATGTGCCTTCAATCGACGGAGCCCTCAATTAATTAGATGGAATCACTGCAATAATAGAGATTAAGCACCACTAACCAACGCTGGTAGCAGGGACGGAGGCCTGGGATGGGGTCACAGGCTGACAGGTGGCTCTGATAAAGACCCCAGTGACTGCTAACTGGTCTCTAGACCCTAGCTGGAAACTAGCAACGTGAATCCCTTCGCCAGTAATAACATGACCCTGGAAGGGCTGGCCTGGAAGCTGTCAGCACTGCACTTGAACCATGCCTGCATTTACGTCCTTAACTCCTGGGCCTCCAGACATCCAGTGTTTCACTGTCCAGCCTGTCTTGGATGAACACCCCAGGTTCAAGAACAAACCAGTGCCTGACCAGATCATAAAGTAAGTCCTACAGCCCACTGGGAAGAGGGAAGTGGGGGTGTGGAGCTCTAAGCCGCAGCACAGGCCTAGTACCTTTCTCCACCACAGGCATAGGCAGTCTGTTCCCGCTCTTCCTCCCGGGAGAAGAATCACCCCCAATTAACTGAGATCTGTCTTCAACAAGGCTGAAGCCAGGGACAGATGGGAGGGACAGGGCTAGGGCTAGCTGTGTGAGCTTTGTGGCCCTGTAAGATCCTCAGGGGACCTTGATTAGATTCACTGGATTGCATGTGGAGAGCTCAGTGCTCAGGCTGATCCCAGAGGGTCACCAGGAAACCCACAGCCAAGAGTGTGGGCTGGGCAGATGACAAGTAGGGTTGGGAGAAGGGACAGGGCAGTCTTGGGTACATTGAACAGGTTTCCCAAAAGGACACCTTTTCGGCCTTTGGTGAGTCTGTGTCTTGGGGATGGATATGTTTAGACTATGACACGGGGACCTCAGAGGAAGCAGAGTGAAGGCAGGTGCCAGTCTGTTCCATGCCAGATTATAAGGTCATGGAGGAGGCTATGAGGTGGGGTCCTACAGGGCACCCGACTGCACCCTCCCATACCCAGCTCACCCCAGTCCCCCCTCGGGGCTCAGCAACGGCGTTCCTTGGCTCTGGCTTCTCTAGCAGCTATACACCAGTGTCCAGCAGAGTAGGGACAGGTCAGGGTGGATCACGGCCTCCTCACCCTCTTGGTCACCACGGGCGGGGGACTGATCTATAGCTAGACAGTGTCCTGCTGGTGATGGTGCTAGAGTCATCACTAGATACCCGGAGAGAAGGATTTGGGGATAAGTGGGTCCCCTGAAGGCATCCTTGGAGGATACCCGGGACATCAGAGCCAGTTCTTGGGTCTGTCTACAACCTTCACCGGCATCACAGGACAGGATGACAGAGGCCGCCGTGTGTGTTAATGCCAGACTCCCACTGCCGGGCTCTCTAAGGTGTAGTATTGTCTTGAGGCCTTGGATGTGGCCTTGCCAGGAAAGCCTGCACTGATCGCTTTTATGGAGCCAGAATATAGGAACCCCACCACCAGTGTGGATTTTAAATTGCTGCTTTGGGGTTGTGCCAGTCCCAAGCCTCCCCAGACAGGCAGCGGGCAGCCCAGGGACATGGTATCAGCAGCTGGCCATGGCTACCAGGAATTTCAGCCCCTTCCTGTCTTTCAGCTTTTACAAATCCAACTACGTGCAAAGGTTCCACTACTCCCGGCCTGTGCGCAGGGGCGCCGTAGACCCTGAGAACGAGTTTGCTGTGAGTATCTCCCCTGACCCGGGCTATGTCCAGCAAGCAGGACCCAGGGTGGGGGACTCCATTCAGACTGAGGAAAATGAAACTAACGTCCACAGATATGATAGCAGTCATTCCCCGCTGTCTTCCGCTGGCTTTTCTCATTTTTGAGTCCTTCCCCTTTCAAGATGTAACCTGGGCTTCAGGGCAGATGACCTTGTCAGTCCAGGGCAGTCAGGTGTTTCCAGTTGTAAAACCTTCAGGCCAAGAAAGGGTGTGGATGAAGTCAACACGTCCAGCAAACACCAATAAAAAGCGACTCAGTCATCACTGCCCCCTGAGGCTGGTCCCTTGTATGTGTCACAGCTAGGATCTGTCTTCTGTTCCCAAGGCCAAGGCTATAATGAGTGGGAAATCTTTCTTCTCCTCTCCTCCCCTCTTCTCTCTCTCTCTCCCTCCCTCCATCTCTTGAACCCAGGGCCATGCCCGTTGTAGGCAAGAACTTTACCACTTGAGCCATGCCTCCAGCCCTTTCTTTTTTGAGATAGGGTCTTGCTAACTTTGCCAGGGCTGGCCTTGAACTCCAGATGTTCCTGCCTCCTCTTCGAGCGAGTATCTGGGATTATAGTCTTGTGCTACCGTGCCTGGCTTAGACTGTGATTTCACTTGGACTCACTGTTCTTTTGAGAATGTAGTGAGCACTGTGGCCCTGGCCTCAGACAGTACAAGTGTACACATTCAGTGTGACCTAAAAATTCAGGTCAGCTTAGAACTGACTCTGCCTGAGTCCAGCTTGAACTTCATTCTGGGAAAGAATTCTTAGAGGTGAGGTGCCAGTCGCTTCGGGGCCTTGCAATATTCCTGTGCTTGTGGGTGGATGGGAGCCTCTGGGGCCAGGCTTCTGTGACCTCGGCCTCCTACCCTCATCTGTCCTGCCCCGACAGTCGATGTGGATCGAGAGGACATCCTTCATCACTGCATACAAGCTGCCTGGCATCCTGCGCTGGTTCGAGGTGGTCCACATGTCACAGGTGAGTCTCGGCACCCACGGTGGGCACCGCACAGCCAGCCACAGGAAGCCTCTTTGACGTTGAAAGGGGGCAGTTTAACTTGAAGCTCCTTTGGGGGGGGGGTCCCTGAATTGCAGTGTCTGGAGAGACCCGAGGCGGTCTGGGGAAGCTGCTTTCAGGTTTTTAATGCATCTGGTAACTTTTATCCCCCAGTAAGTGAAAGCTGATGAAGGGGCTCATCATGGTGGTGGAGCAAGGAGGGGGCAGGGTTAAGAGCCTGGAAACTCCATCCATCTGCCCATCACTCCAGCAGTCCCTTGGGGACACCTCTGCAGTGCACCACTGTGAACCCGTTTTATAACTGTGTAAACTGAGGCTGGCAGAGGAAACCACGGACAGCCAAAGTTCTGACTGGGCCCCACATGTCTGAAACCCCATGTGCTGATTGCACACGTTTTGCTTCCCGCACACCTGTAGCCTCTGTGTCACAGCTCCTGAGATCCAGGGTCAGGCCCGTGTGGCCACGAGGATGCCGTGTTAATGGGGCCAATTTAGGAAATCCATTCATTCAAGCTAGTTCATGAGTACCTGACACACGACAGCTACTCTCCAAGAGCTGGAGATTCTGCAGTGGAGCATACATTCCAGTGGAGGAGGCAGACTAAAAAGTCCAAGTGAACATACACCGGGCCAGACGCTGATAACCATGACAGAGAAAAACAAAACACAAAGTTGATGAATTAAGGTGGTGCTTTTAAACAGCCTGCTCAGAGAAAGTTCCTCACCAAAATGGGAGGAAAGACCTAGAAGAGGTGAGGAAGTAGTCTATGTGGATACTAAAGAGGGAGCACTCCAGAAAGAAAAGGAACAGGGAGTGCAAAGGACCTGGGGCCAGAGCATGGTATGTGCAGATCAGAACAAGTGAGAGGTGAGAAATGGTAATCTGATACCAGATATGGTAGGCCTTACGGATCAGATCATGGTGGACCTTGGCTTTCCCAGAAGTGAGAGGCAGTGTGGTCTTGACTGGTGGTGTTTTCAAGCTACTGTTTAGTCAGCACTGAGACCATCCAAGTCTTAAAGTTCCTCTTAGTGCCAGGAACTCAGTAACCCTGCAACCTCCCCTTTTCAGCCTGGCCTAGACCTTGGAAAGGTAAAATAGTGATGGTGACAGCAACAAACATGTCTTGCCTGTGTGCTGAGCTGTTTGTTTGCATTTTGCTGCCACCCACCCTGTGAAGCAGATATTGTAATTCTTCCCATTTTGCCGACGGGAGAACTGAGGTGCAGAGTGAGTGGGCAAGCTGAGGGAGCTGTTCCTGGGGTCCTCATCTCCCCCACTGCCGCTTCTCTCCTCAAAGCACATACCACCTCCGTGCAGAGGGTATAAACTTTCCTGTGTGCTATTTTCAGTATTAGTAGAGTATTAAATATGTTAGATGCTAAGCTACCTCAGAATCTCAGCTCCAGGAAGACAGAAGTTTTTGTCTGTTCTATTCCCTGCCGGATCCCAGTAATAGTCCCAGGCCCATACAGACACTCGAGAACATTTAAGCAAATCGATCAAACAACTCGTGCACAGATTCATCACGTCTGCACGGTTTCCCTACTTGAAGACCTCAGGATTCTGAAATGAAGGAGGAAACAGCATTTTGGAATTGCTCCTTTCATCCCAATACCTTCTGATAGACGGGGAAGCAGCCACCAAGTTGAGCAGAGAGAATTTGTCCTTCCCAGCTTCCTCCGATGTGTGATCGAGAATTTCAGGATGTCTCAGACACAAAAGTTTCACGCCCGGCTGGGTGGCTTCATTTCCAACCTTTTTGTTTCATCCTCTGAATTTGCATGTAGCATTCGGTTCTTTCACTCATAACTTACAGGTACCGTTTGTAGAGAGCGGTGTTTTCTGATGGGCCCAGGGAAAGTCCTGCCTGTCTATTGAGGACTCGTTCTTTATAAGAGCCCTAATTGACCTTAGCTTTCATCATCTGTAAAATGGGAATGGTGAAACTGTAGAATTTCAGACTAGAACTTACAGACTTTCTGCCAGAGGCTGCGAAGTCCCAAAGCTATAAACTGTGTATCCTCAGAGTCCAGTAAGTTAAGTGAGTGAACTGATCACATTAGGATGACGGGGACTCGTGGAGGCTGTTGACTGCAGTAGCCTCCCTGTCCCCTACTGAGCCAAATTTGGAGAAATCAGGACCGAGGTACTCAATGAATGACAGGGTTGGTTCAGCCACCGTTCTCCACGAGAATATGCACATTAGGAAACTGGAGACCCCAGATGGGACTTGAATTGCCAAAGCAATGACTGGTAGAGCTCAGAGGTGACAGTGATGCTGGTCTTGTGCTAGGCCACATTGCTGGGACGCCCTTGAACGATTTGAAGCACCCACCTGTTTTGTTTGATGCCCCCCCCACCACACACTTTCCCTTTTTCTCAAAGCATTCTCACACCCACCCTCAATAACTCATGTTCCTGTCACAGCAAGTTGGGCAAAGGTTACTTGACCTCTACTGTCTACGGACACTGAGGCTCAGCCTAGCCAGGAGACCTGATTTGAGAACTGGATTATGGCCCAATGATCAAGTGATGCAAGTTTAATAACTGAGCTTGATGCACACATGGTGGGAGAAACCCGTCCTGGGAACTAGGGACACCTGCACTCTCTGGCTCTGCTACCCCTACCCTTGGGCAGGTGACTCACCCTGTCCTTGGGGGAATTAAATGAGAGTGTGTGGTGGGTAAACTGAGCCACCTCCAATACCAGGATCACTGCTTGTAATCCTACTGTCAGCTCCTGGCATCCAGGCCTTCCACCAACCACATAACCTGCAGTGCTCAGAGAGTTATATGATAGTCTACACAAATGCCTGAAGGTGGGAAGCCAAAGATATTTTCATCCTCATTCTGGGATCTGATGGCTGTAATGATGATGAGGATTTAGGAATCCAAAAAGAGTTTCCAAAAGTGAGGAGGAAAGCCACACAATGGGTCTTTCCATTTTTCATGACTCTCCATAAAATCTGCATCTTTCAGCTGTGCCAGGCTGTATGGACATCCAGGCGAGGGACTGGGCTCCATCTGAGGAGCTGGGGATGGGTTTTCCTCAGCTGTGTGAAGCCCCCAGGGCCGGTCTGCTCGTTGACAGAGCTAGGTTGTAGGTTCAGCCTGTGGAACTGTGGACCAGGCGGAGATGAATTCCCTTCCAGGTCACACTCTGTGTTGTGTAGGGCGGGTGTGTGTGTTGTGTCCGTGTGCACATGTGGGTGCTAGGGCATGAATATATGCAGTGTCCCCCATAAGGCCATATGTGAATGCTTGGTCCCTCGGGTGGCAGTGTTGGGAGGTGCTGGGGACCTTTAAGAGATGGGGCCTAGTGGGACCTCCTTAGGTCACTGGGGCTGTGTTCTCAGAAAGGACTGTGGGCCCCTGGGCTCTCTCTCAGTCTCTCTGTTTCCTGCCTGTGATGGATGGTCTTCTCTGACACATGCCCTTACCGGAGGCCGTAACCAATGGGACTGTCCAACCTTGGGCTTCACTCTAGAACCAAGAGTGAATAGGCTGTTCAGAGGTGACAGTGAGACAGTGACAATGACAGAGAATCTGCCACCAGAGACTTCTCACTGCAGGAGCCACCATCTTCTAAAGCTGCAGTTTCAGGGAAGGGGTAAAGAGGTTGTATAACTCCCAAAATGACCAAGAATATGGCTACAAAGGCCGACCTCCCCTCTGTACGTCACTAGGTAGAACCAGAGGGTGACATTTTTAAAGAGCTCTGCTATGTCAGGGATTGGATAACCTCAAGTAAGCTCCACCACACGACCCATGGGCAGGGCGGCCCTGCATTACCACTACAGAGATGATAAAATTAGGCTCCCCTCCTCCACGAAATGTCACCAGATCCTCTGACAATTCTCCTCAGCCCCTACCCTCCTGCCAGGGGGTCTCCCCTCCTTAGATCCTAACACCCGTAAGCATTAGGAACAGTAGCTCCCAGCAACTCTCTGGGGTAGGTTTTCTTATTCCAGTCCTACCACTGAATCACGTGTGGGTCACAGAGGTTAGGAAACTAGCCCAACATCACAGAGCTCAAAAACCGGAACTCAGACTTTGTCCCGGCTTTAACCAAATCAGTTCCACGATCGGAAAAGTGTGGTCCATGGACCGAATTCCTCCTGTCACCGATTTCTGTAGAGAGCTTTGATTGGAAACACTGCGCTCATTCATTTCCACATTCCCAGCAGCTGCCTTCACCCTACAATCTCAGAGCCAAGGAGCTGTGACGGAGACCATCTGGCCTGCAAATCCCGAGATACGTCCTCACTGGCCCTCTTGCAGAAGTGTTTGCCAGCCTCTGGTGCAGTTTTCACTCAAATCCTAAGTGCTTGCAAACTGTAGTTTATCAGTTGTCGTTGGATGGCACTCGGTTCTTACCGCTTTCTAGGAAGTGTGGGAGGAGAGTTTTTCTCTTCCTGGCTCTACCTTAGGACAGCCACCATCCCCACAACCGCCAGTCCCAGGCCCTGCTATGAGCTCACACGGTAGCTTCTCAGCCAACAGTGACGGGTTGTGTTGGAGTGAGTTTCGCCCTGTCACTGGGCACATTCAACCTCTGAAGCCCAGCAGTGCCTGGTGCTGCCTGCCTCCGCCTCCCAGGGAAGTCCCTTTCCCATTAAGCAAAGAGCCAACCTGTTCCCCAGATACTCCAGGAGCTGACAACCATGGCCACAGCAGCTCCTCGGAGCAGGGCCTCAGTTGAATTTCCAGCCCAAGTGAAGTCAGTAGCAATAGTTCTGTTTCTAAAGCCCCTTTGTTGTGGTGATACTGTTTTCTGCAGATCACAATTAGCCCCCTGGAGAACGCTATCGAGACCATGTCCACAGCCAACGAGAAGATCCTGACGATGGTCAATCAGTACCAGAGCGATGACAGCCTCCCCATCAACCCGCTGTCCATGCTGCTAATGGGATCGTGGACCCCGCCGTCATGGGAGGCTTCGCCAAATACGAGAAGGTGAGGCTCTGCCCTGTGGCCCTGGGCAGGGCTGCAGCCGTACATTGTTTTATCCTGTTGTGGCTGTCCTTGCCCCCAAAGGGACTCTCAGCTTGGTCAGGCCTCTTGTGACACCCAGAGTTCCTGTGTCTCAGCCAAGCTCCCGTCCCCTTCCACCTTGATCCTAATTCCACAGCCATACTCGCAGGGAGGAGCAGGCTCAGAAGGGCCTTGCGTCCCCCTGGACAGGTCCAGGTGGCTCTGTTGAGGAAAGGCTCTGGGGTGACTGTGAACTTGGCCAGAAAAGTATAGGAGCCACGAGTCAACACACATGCCATCATGCAAGCCCTTCTCTTTTCACAGAAGACAGGAATCAACACACACACAGGGAAAGAAAGGAAAGCCAGAATTTGTGAAAATGCAAAGTCTGGGAGACCACTCTAGGGAAAGGGGGAATTATAACAGAGAAACCCAGGTTACAGGGCCCCTCCAGGAAGCCTCGCGTGTTTGAAACACAGAGTTCATTTTGGGGTGAATGAGCAAACAGGAAATGATTGCCAGTTATATGAGTCATATTGTCCCCTGGGGGAAAATACCAGCTTCCTACTAGGGAGGCAGAGCTTCGCCTGGCATTGATGTGACCTAGAACATAGAGCACTTACCTGGCTTTCACCTAGCAGACCATGGCCTCCTCATTCGAAGAAAATCTCACCACAAATCCCCTGCTGTCTTTCCCATGCATTCACTGGTGTAAATCTAAGCACATCCCACAGAAGTGTAATACAGCGAGAACAGTTCCAGTCACCTAACGAGGCCTTCCACTGCCCTCAGACACCCCTGTGGTCACCAGCAGGACCTTTTGCTCAGCCTTGAAGGAGCCACGTCTGTATATATTGTGCACACAAAGACAGGAGCTCAGAAAGACTGGGAGCTGCCAGGCCACCTGCAATGAGGGAGGCCTGAGGTGAGCGTGAACACGTCAGGTGACGGTCCTTATGAGCTCTGAAGGTTCTTCAGAGTAATGTTAACATTCTCCATGTGCCTTGGAATCTCCTGGAGGGCTTCAGGGATCACAGAGATCCCTGTCCCAGCTCTGCTTCAGTCTGTCAGGTTGAGGCTGGAGAGGGTGGATCTCTCAGGTTCCCAGGAACCCCACCTTGAGAATGACTTCTTGGCACTCTGCAGCCCTTTCCCAGTGGCCGATGATTGGAGCTTCCAGGAAGGGAAGGCAATGAATGACAACACTTCCAGGTTCCTGACCACTGCACCATGCAAATCCTGTGACCTCACTCCTGCCTCTCTCAAATCTAGTCTTCTCCAAGGCCCAGAGGGATTGGTTGTAGGTTGACACCAATGCACAGGAAGCCCTGATCCCTTTATGTCTCCCCCAGGCCTTCTTCACTGAGGAGTATACCAGGAACCACCCTGAAGACCAGGACAAGCTGAACCGGCTCAAGGACCTGATTGCGTGGCAGGTAGGCAGAGCTGGACTTGGGGGTGTTCAGCCCCTTCTCTCCCCTGTCATCTGCCCTCAGCTCAACTCTGGCTGGCATGGCCTGGTTTTCCATGTCCTCCAGCCCCTTCCTTTGGCCCCTCTTCTCTCTCACATGAGCAGGCCCCTCTCCCTTGGGCATTGCACCCACACTAGGCAGTGATGCTGTGCTGGAGGTTTCTAGGATTGCTTTCTTTGATGTTAAATTCAGGAGGTGGCTTTTCACAGCGGGGTTCAAATGAAAAGCAGGCCCCCACACTCCCATCAGATATTAGAAGACTCAGGCCCCTAACCCTACCGCTCCTCCTGCTCAGGCTGACCCGGTTTGTTGCAGCTCGTGCTCAGATGGATATCAGCTTTTGTAAATATTGAGGCCTTTGTTGGTTCTTGGTCAAAGGGTCTGCACAGTGCAAGCTGCTGCTTGCTTGGCCCTCCAGCCCAAGCCTGAAGACTTGCCTCGTCTCTGGCTGCATCCCTTCTCTTCTGCATTGCTCTTCTTTCTCACTCTTCCTTCCCTCTTCCTCTGTTTCTGGGCATCTCTTTTCCCCTCTCTTAGAAACTGTTTTGTTCTAACCCTTCCCTCTGTCGTTTGCCTCTGTCTGCCTCCCACTCCCTCACATCTTACTCTGCTCTAGGCTTCCTTTCCTCTTCTCTCTCCCTCTATTTGCCTCACTTCCTCTCCTTGCAGAAAAAAACAACCTGCTAGCTGCCTCCCCTGCCCTTGCCCCCTGCACAGGGGCTTTCAAAGGACCAGCTCCCTCCTCAAACATCTGCCAGGTCTGGACTCTGCAGACCTTGCATAGCTCAGGGGTGAGCTAGGAGGGGTGAGGGGGGAGGAGGAGGGGAGCAGGAGCCCAGCCCAGGGCAGAGAGCGGTGGTTCACAGCTGCTGGCCCCGCCCCCCCCACCCGCTTCTTGCCAGTCACTGTGCAAAGAAAACAGCTTTCATGGCAGGGAGTTTGTGATACTCTAGGGAAATCAGAGACTGAAAAGCACTGGGTGCAGCCTCTTTTCTTAAAATAAGGATTCCTAATTCGGGTCCTTCCCTGCCTCTGCCAATTTATGCAAAGTGGGGCTTTAAAAATGAACCACCAAGCACAGCACAGACGCATTTTTACTGAATGTATTTTGTATGTCTGGAATTTTCTCTCTCTCTCTCTCTCTCTCTCTCAAGTCTGTGCCACCCATGGAGTGCAAGTATCTCTAAGTTCTCTGTCCTTCTGTGGTCACCATTCTCTTTAGTAGTCAGGTGATGACATTCTCCCTCACCTCCCCAGCCTGGGAAGCAGGAAGCCCAGGCTGTGTGACTGCCTCCTCCAAGACTTTCTGGGACACCCGGGGAATGCTAATAGGTCGCACAAGTTGACTTCCTCACTGGAAGCACACCCCGCGCCCCCACTTCTCCACCGGGGGCCCCTTCTTCTCATCTGGTAACAGCTTCTCCATGCTGTATCCACTGCATTCAGAGGATGGGTCTTGGCCTTACCGGGCAGCTGATGTAAGGCTGCACCTTCTAAGAAAATTCTACCCAAGTCTTGAGCTAGTTAGAGGGGCCCCAAATAAACAAGGGAGACGGAAGCATATATTGGATGATACTGCTTCTGAGAGCCATCAGCAGACGCCTTCAGGCAGCGGCCCCTTGTGGCCACCTTCCCCAAAGGATGGCCCATTGTCCCCAAGGCCACCAGGTTACAGAGGCCCCATAACCCAAAGGAGATTGCGCTGGTGGGCCCCCACCCAGCCCAGGCACTCCAACTGTGAGCGCCTACACTAAAAGATGCAGCCCTGCTCGTGGTGAAGGCAGCCTTTTACTTTGTCCCACTCAGCAAGTCACCTCCTAGTCTTCTATTCACTGTCACCTGTGTTTACAGAGGTGACCTAGGATACCAGAACCAGACAGCAGAGATGTAGCAATGGACAAAATTGGGCCTGCTTCCTGCCCTCCAGAGCTCTATTCTAGAGCAGATACTGGTTTTGAAAACTTTGTGCACACCCTAGATTTCAAAGGGAGAATGTACTTCCACTCCTAGCAAACCAACAAACGCTCAGCATCCAAGGAACATCTGTGGTCAAGATGTCATAGGTTCCAAGATTGGTAGCCTCTTAGCTGTTTTTCTTCTTTGTAAGGATTTTATATTTATTGGCATGAAAAGTTGTCTAGGTTATTCATTTGTTGTGAAATATGACATGCAGATAAGTACACATAAAAATACACAGCCCATTGGTTTATCATGAACCACACACCCGTGTGACGGCCTCTCGGGCAATGAGGTAGACCTGTGCTAGCCAACCTGCACCTCCATGTAGCCTTTTCATCCCTCCCCAAGCTTGACCTCCTTCCTGCTTTCACGGCAATCCTTCCCTGGCATTTTAAAAGATTTTACTACCCAAGCACCCATTCGTCAACACCAAATTTGCTCTTGGTTATTTCTGACCTATATATAAATGGAATCATGGTGTACAGTCTTTTATGTCAACATTATGTTTGTGAAATTCATTCGGTTGCCCGTAGCTATCATTTATTCATTTTGTTACTGTGTAGTAGTTTCTACAGGTGAATTGTGTATTTCTGTATTTTTCCTTCTGGTGGAATTGATTTCAACTTGGGGCTGTTACAAGTATTTCTGTTGTAAGCATCTGTGTGTGTGTGTGTGTGTGTCTTTGTGTGTCTTTATAGGATACATACCAGAAGTTTGACTCTCTTTGTTTCTAAGGGTTTATCCTTTGTATGAATATACAGTATACAAATAATACGCCAACTATTTCACTCACTCTCCCATTGGTGGAGTTCGGGTTGTTTTAGGTTTTGTGTATTAGCTAGGTATTCTCGATCATGTCATCTGGTGGACATACACGCTCGATTGCCTCAGTGACACGGAATGGCTGACTCATGCATGCTGGGTACAAGAAACAGTTTTCCAAACTGGCTAAACCAACTGACAGTCCTGCCAGCAGCTTCTCAGAGTCTGGATTGCTTTTGATCCTAGCCCTTCTGGTGACTGCAGAGTGGGTCCTAACTTGAGGTTTAATTTGCATTTCCTTTCTGAGCACTGATGCTTCAGAACCTTCTATGCTACTGGCTGAATGGATAACCGTTTTGTGACAGGCTTGTTAGAATGTTTTATTAAGTTGTCTTTTTGTTGCTGATCTGTGGTGGTTTATTATGGTCTAGCCACGAGTCCTTCGTCAAACACTCGTGTTACAAATACCTTTCTGTCTGTGGCGTGTCTGTTTACTTTCTTAATGATGTATTTTGGTGAACAGAAGTTAGTAATTTTGATGAGTCCAGTTTATAATTTTTAAATGGTTAATTTGTGACCACTGTGAGAAATCTAACCCACGATCCTGATGCATATTCTCCTGTGATTTTTCCTGAAATTGGGTTATTTTATCTTATGCGTTTAGGTGTATGTGTAAGGTTTTGATGAACATGAAGGGGCAGGTTACTTTTCCATAAAGACTTCCAATTATTCTAGCACTTTCTTGAAAAAAAACTCTCTCCTCCTACCTTTGACATAAAGTGATCATACATGTGTTTATTTCTGGGATTTCTTGTCTATCTCTAGTCTATCAGTCTTAGTCTAGCTACTACAAATTGTTCTTTCACCGAGTTTGTCTCTGCACTTCTAACCCTTTGCATCTCCATATACGTTTTAAAATCAGCTTGTCAACGTCCCCCGCGTCCCCAAAACACACTGGGAATTTGATGAGGAGAACGTGTTTATGTTAATTTGGGAGAGGATCGCCACCCTCACAGAACTGAGCTGTCCAGTCCACAAACATGGACTGTCTCTCTACTTACTCACCTCAGCAGTTTTGTACTTTTCAGTGCAGACATCTTTCGTGTATGTCGCTTGATTCAGTCCTAGACACTTGATGTTTTTAATTCTGTTGTCAATAGTTTTTCTGGTTTTGCCTTTCCATTTGTCAACGTGTGCACAATTGATTTTGTATGTTGCTCTGGTAGGTTGCTAGGAACCCTGCTAATTCACCTCATTCTGTTCTGTTACATAGTCTACGAACACCGTCAAGGCTAAGGTAACAGGCGCTAATGTGAACTTTACAGGTGCTGTACAAGTGAATGGGACCCGTGTGATGTTTCCGTAAATCACGTCCATCCACGCAGCCCTGCCCCTCCCTGGTCCCTGTACGTCCTCCTCTACTTTCAGGTCTTTTTTCTTTCTTAGTTTCTATATATGAGACAGAACTGCAATCATTGTCTTTCTGTATCTGCCTTTTTGTGCTCAACGTAATATCCTCCAGTTCCATTCACTCTCCTGCAAGAAACAGGAATTTTTCTTCTTCGTGACTGAATAAAACTCCATTGCGTGTCTGTGTGTGTACACATCACATTTTCCTTACCCCTCTCTCAATGCTTACCTAGGCTGATTGCACCTCTCAGCTGTCATGAGCAGTGCCACAACAAACCTGGGTATGCAGGTGTCTCGTGTATGCACACTTCATTTCCTGTGAGTATTTATGCAGGAGTGGACTGCTGAGTCTTATGGCAGTTCTATTTTTAGACTTTGAGGAACCTCCATACGGATTTCCTTAGCGTTTACACTGATTTACGTTCCCAGCAGCAGTGTGTAATTGTTCCTTTTTCTCCACGTCATCACCAGCGTTTGTTATTTTTTGGAGACTAGCCCTTCCAACTGGAATAAGAGAGTATGACAGTGCAGTTTTAATTTGCTTTTCTCTAATGGCTAATGGTCTTATTTCATATATTTATTGGTCATTTGTATATTTTTCTTCCGAGAAGTGAATTTAGATCATCACCCATTTAAAATTTGTATACTTATTTTTTGCCTTATTTCTTGAGTTCTTTATTCTGTTTGATGAAATTGGTGGCAAACATTTCTCCCATTCTGTAGGCTGCCTTGTCACTCTGTTGATGACTCCTTGGCTGTGCAGAAGATGTGCAGTCCCATTTGTCAATCCTTGTTATTATTTCCCGTGCTTTTGGAGTGCTAGCCAGAAAAAC